GAGGCCGCGGCCACTGACCCCCCCCCAGCGAGAGAGAGTGCAGTGTGCGCCACGGAAACCCTCACAGGTGGCACTGAGGATCCCGTCGACCGCCCGGCAAGCGCGGGACCCGCGGCTCGGGACCCGATTGGACGGATCCAGGAGGACGTCGGCTGCGCCTTCCCGGGCCTAAACGACGAGCGGCTGAGACAGACCCAGCAGCGAGATCCGGATCTGGCGGCAGTGGAGGCGGCACTGCGGGAGGAAAAGAGCGCCCTACCAGGACCCTGGAGCGGTTTGTATGCCCGGTTGTGTGTGCGGAACGGAGTGGTACGGGAGTTAACCGAGGCCGGCCAGCCGGGGTGCATCTGTGTTCCTGCCCAGGTGCGACCCCAGCTGCTACGGCTGGTGCATGACCACCCACTCGGGGGCCACGATGGGGAACGACGCACTCGAGAGACCCTGCGTCGCCAGTATCTCTGGCCCAAATTGGCACAAGATGTGGCCGCCTGGGTGCAGGGCTGCCGGGCCTGTCAGCAGTGTGGGCAAAAGCCGGCGAGGTACCAGGTACCCCTGAGGCCGTTCCGAGTCAGTCGGACGAATCAGTTGGTCGGAATCGACCTGCAGGGGCCCTTTCCACGATCCCACCGGGGCAACCGATATATTCTCGTAGCGGTGGAATACTTCACCCGCTACCCCGTGGCGGTGGCTATCCCGGATAAAACAGCCCTTGTAGTGGCCCGGGCCTTCGTGGAAAACTACGTACTTAAGTGCGGGATCCCCGAACGAGTCATTACCGACCAGGGTAGTGAATTCGAGGCCGAACTATTTCAGGCGCTGTGCCGAGAGTTCGGGATCCAGAAGGACCGAACCACGGCGTATCACCCCCAGGCGAACGGGATGGTAGAGAGGATGAACCAGACTCTGGCCGGGAAGCTTAAACGCATGGCGGCCGCGAATCAACAGGACTGGGACGAACACCTTCCCTATGCCCTGTTCGCCTACACCACCGCCGTTCACACCTCTACAGGACAGACCCCGTTCCTAATGATGTTTGGTCGCGAGTCTCGCCTGCCCGCAGATCTGCTGTTCGGTGTTCCTCCGCCGCAACGGGAGGAAGGGAGCCACCCCGTGGAGCACTTGCTGGAGACCCTGCGAGGGGCCAGGGGCCGAGCCTACCCGCACGGAGAGGCCGCGCACCAGCGGCAAGAGCAGGGCGCCCGACCCCGTATGGAGCCCCCCTTCTACACTGCGGGCTCCGAGGTGTGGCTGTACACTCCCCGCGTCGGTGCCGGACAGGTGGGGAAGCTGACCACCTACTGGCGAGGACCCTGGATTGTGAGACGGCAGATCTCACCCTGGACGGTACTGATTCAGGGAGGAGAGAGGGGCCGGGAGATGGTGGTCAACATCCGCCGACTGAAGCCGTGGCGAGCAGCCCCCGAGGGAGGGAGCCCCGCCGTCCAAGTACCCCGAAACCCCGGGGTCCCCCCACCCCCCGTGCCCGGGGGCCTCGCGCAGTACATGGGCCCCACGGAGCCCCGGGCTCCGAGGGGCCCCGGGCGGGGCCGGGGGCGACGAGGACGGCGACCCTTAAACCCCACCGCCTCTGAGTTTGTTCCCCAGCCCGCAGGTGCCAGAGGCCGAGGGGAGCCGTTGGAATGGAGGAGGAGACCACCGCCGGAGCCCCAGGAGACGGAGCCGCCACCCCCGAGGCCAGCCACAAGGGCCGGGCGAATCCCGCGGACCCCGCGGCGATACCTCGTGGGGGCAACCCAGGCGAGGTGCTCAAGTCAACCCGGGACGGGGACTGGCACCCCGGGGGGCTATGTGGTGCCACAGCGACGGGGCCGCTCTGCCGAGCCAGGGAGCCGCCCGGCTTCCCCCACCGCACTGCCCCCCATCACCCGCCCCACATAAGCACACACCCGCACGCATCCCCCCCCCCCCATAGAGCTGGAAGGGAAGGTTACCTGATCGACCGGTTTTTATCCGAGAGACCCTTATCGGGATTAATTCTCACGGTTTCCGGCGATCAGGGAATTGGATGACCTCCCCCGTGCTACGTGGTACCGCGGCGCTGCTGCCGGCCTTAATATGGTGTGGTCGCGGCGTGGGGCATTCGGCCACCGCGGTTGAGGCGCATTTCCCCCCACACACACCCCCACGAGTCAACGGGGCAAGCAGGGGAGGCACGAGACAGCATGAATAGCGGGGTCACAGGGGCTGTTGCGCATAGTCATGGGGGGTTGGGATAATTGCGCTTGAGCGCGCAGGCCCCATTGTTAGGAAGGGTAAGGGAGTAATTAGGATGTACGCCGCCAACGTCGCTCACTGATTAGCATATCAACAGCGCCTGGGGACTGCCGTGCGCGGGCTTGGGGTGCACGAGCCCATTGTTCAGCGCAGCATCCCCTTTGGAGGTAGGGAGGATAAATAGAGGAGCGCAGAGGGGAAATCGCTCTCTTACTCCAGCGCCAGGCGACCAGACGCAGCTCGAGCCAGCGACCCGGACGTCCGTGCGACGCACCGAGGCACGCGGTTAACACAAGGATCAGCGGACCGCCGTGGACACTTAACAGTGAGTAAGAAGGGGAATTAGAAGCATAGCCGATAAATAGGGAATAGGTACAGGTTTAGTGGAATAGGCCAGCCTCGTCGACTCACTGATTCAACATCAATTCGCAGGTGGCATATAATAAATCATTAATAGCGAAGCGTGGTCTCGCGTGATCTTGTCGTGCAGTGTGAGCGGGTGGGTGCGCTGTGTGCACAGTGGTTCGCCACGTGAGTGAGCGCTGCGCGGAGCTGAGCGCGCGGGTTGCGTGTGGGAACGCGTGTGGTACTGTGTGTGCGTAAGCTCGCGGCGTGCGTAATCGGCGTACCCCAGGTGCGCGATTGTAACGTGAGCGGCCAGCGCGGCGCAGAGAAGCGCAAGAGTGAGTGCCGTACAGAGCTGTGTGTGTGGGTGTGCGCGTACGTAATTAACCATGCCTGCTACGCGGACCCGCGGTGGAGTGGAACCCTCGGGCGACGGCTCCCACACCATGGGTGAGGAACTTAGCAGCGGTTCGCTTAGCAGCGGGGGGGCGATTGATGATGCTAGCCCGGCCGTTAGCATTATCGAGGGAGGGATTTCGGGGGCTAGCGACCCCCACAGCAGTGTTGAGTCTATGGTGCAGTGTTGAGTCTGTGGTGCAGTGTTGAGTCTATGGTGTAGTGGTGAGTCTATGGTGCAGTGTTGAGTCTGTGGTGCAGTGTTGAGTCTATGGTGCAGTGTTGAGTCTATGGTGCAGTGTTGAGTCTATGAGCAGTGTTGAGTCTATGAGCAGTGTTGAGTCTAAAGTAGAGTGTTGAGTCTATGGTGCAGTGTTGAGTCTATGGTGTAGTGTTGAGTTTATGAGCAGTGTTGCGTCTATGAGCAGTGTTGAGTCTATGTTGCAGTGTTGAGTCTATGAGCAGTGTTGAGTCTAAAGTGGAGTGTTGAGTCTACAGTGCAGTGTTGCGTCTATGAGCAGTGTTGAGTCTATGGTGTAGTGTTGAGTCTATGAGCAGTGTTGAGTCTAAAGTGGAGTGTTGAGTCTACAGTGCAGTGTTGAGTCTATGGGCAGTGCTGAGTCTACCGTGCAGTGTTGAGTCTATGGTGCAGTGTTGAGTCTATGGTGTAGTGTTGAGTCTATGAGCAGTGTTGAGTCTATGAGCAGTGTTGAGTCTAAAGTAGAGTGTTGAGTCTATGAGCAGTGTTGAGTCTATGGTGGAGTGTTGAGTCTATGGGCAGTGTTGAGTCTATGGGCAGTGCTGAGTCTATGGTGAGTCTATGAGCAGTGTCGAGTCTACGTGTTGCGCCGTTACCAGGGCGCTGTTACTTTACTCGCCACCACGCTCACAGGCCGATAGGGGGCAGGCTGGAGGCTGAGTGGGATGTGTGTCGGTTAACCGAAGGTAACCCCCCTGGGCATCTCGTGACCGGAAGTGGAGACCCCAGACCCCCACGGGGTAGGGGGGTGGGGGGTGGGGGGGGCTGGGGGCTAACGGTTCATTCCCGTCCCTTCCAGAGCCCTCTGGAAAGTTCGAGAGGGGGAGGAGGGGCGAGGGGCGGGGTAAGCCCCATCTTGTCTATAAAAGCCGGTCCCCTCTCAACGGCCACCGCCAGTGTTCGTCCACTCAAGATCCGAAGGCGTCTGAAGCAGAGGTCGCAACCGGGTACCCGATACCCGTACCCTACCCGTACCCTACCCGATACCCGTACCCTACCCGATACCTGGCGTTGAGAGTTGAGGGGGGTACGGGTACCCGTTTGCGACCCTGGTGCAGCCGGGTACGGGTAGACCGCGAGTCACTGGTGAGTCACCGTTTGTCACTCATTTCCCAACGTCTTGTCTCTTCTCACAATTCAAGTTCCTGGAATCAACCCACCCGCGCCTGCAACATGGCTTCATCCCAGAGGTCGCTATCGGGTACCCGGGTACGGGTACCCGTTTGCAACCTCTGGGCTGAACCTCCCTTAGGTTATCGGGTGAAGGGGGCTGTACCCCGTAGTGTTACAGCTGTTGTTACTGTTTAGTTGAAATAAACGCGTTGCCTCGAGAAGACGTCTCCGCGAAGTTTATACCCACAAGATATGGGTGGCAGCGTTGAGTTTCTGGTGCAGTGTTGCGTCTATGGGCAGCGTTGCATCTAAACTTAAACATGTTTTTTTTATATTACTAGGTAAGGCCCCACTGAAATGTGTAGCTCTTTTGCAGAGGTGACCTGCCCATTACAAATGATAGCCCAACAAAGAGGCTCATCACATGGAAATGCATAGCAGCCAAATACTCTAAACACGTCACGTTGATTCTAAATTTGTAGGACCCGGAAAAAAATCCACGTGACCACGGGGAGAGACGCAAACTCCAAATATAGAGCAGCAGCAGCAGGCGTCAGGGTCGGGATCGAAACCACGACCTCCTGTGCACCAGGCGAGGCAGTTAACATCTAGCCACCGTGGCGTCTGGAACACAGCAACAGGCGGGACCGCATGCGATCAATGTGTTCTTTATTTCACGACACGACAACAACGACAACGTCGTCTTACACTCGACAACACGACAGTGGAATTACAGTGAGCCCAGCATAGGTTATCACGGAACCCTCATTAACAACACATTCCTGCTGCGGAGGGAGCTGGTAGGAACGTTGGGTTGCTCGGTCAATGGCCAGGGTCAATGGCGGCGTGGTGTATTCCGCAAATATGCCCGACTGAGGGCGGGCACAAGCCGGCGTGAGTAGGTTAAACGTTGAGTTTTATAAGGGCACCACGGGGTGACCAGCCCCTCCCCACCCAGCCCCACCCCTCCCACCCTCCCCTCTTCACCCAGCCCCACCCCTCCCATTTTTGGATGCACGACGGACGGACACAATAATCCCGTGTGTGCTGGTGTAACCAGGAGGTTCCTACCAGCACTACCACCCTACCCCCCTCACAACTCTCAACGCCAATTCCCTCGCCACGACTTCCCGTACGGGCAGTCCACGCTCTCCCGGAACGCGTCGCTTTCACGGGCAACAATCGATGGCACAACGCGATCGAGTCGAAAGGAGCTTAGCGGCAGAGGTCGCAAACGGGTTTTGATTCCTTACCCGTACCCGGCCGCACCAGGGTCGCAAACGGGTACCTGTACCTGGCCGGGTACGGGTATCGCGTACCCGGTTGCGACCTCTGCTTAGCGCCGAGGCGAGGAGAACGAAGCAGTGTGTACGGAATGGTTCCCCCCTCGGCGTAGGATCGTCATCGTCAAACAGAGCATTGGGATATTGCTGCTGCTGGGGCTGCTTCGAGATGCTACCCACCACGCACCTCGGTGTTTGTCCGGCCTCTGCGTTAGACATCTCTCTCGCGCGTGTTATCGCGGATCCTGCTTTAACCCCCCCCAATCTTGTATATATTATTTATTATCACGCGATTTATCCATTACGCGGTGTTCTTCAGGAAAGCAACCACTACTAATGCCGCGTGACCGGAGAACAGGACTCTTCTACTTACAAAGATTCGACTTGCGAACTTTCAGAGATACGGACAAATCTGTCCGTATGTCCAGTTGCCTGTTCTGTCTCAGAGTAATAAGTTCAACCGTCCCGCGAAATAGATGGCGGCGGCAGTGGTGGTATCTCGATCTGCAGAACATGAAGAACCAGTGGCATCTACATAACGTGAAGAACCATTGACATTCACATCTACAGAACGTGCAGAACCAGTGGCATCCACATCTGCAGATCACGAAAAAGCAGCGGCATCTCCACCTGCAGAACATGAACCAGTGGCATCTACATCTGCAGAACGTGAAGAACCAGTGGCATCTACATCTGCAGAACATGAAGAACCAGTGGTATCTACATCTGCAGAACGTGAAGACCCAGTGGCATCTACATCTGCAGAACATGATGAACCAGTGGCATCTACATCTGCAGAACGTGAAGGACCAGTGGCATCTACTTCTGCAGAACATGATGAACCAGTGGCATTCACATCTACAGAACATGCAGAACCTGCGGCATTCACATCTGCAGATCACGAAGAACCAGTGGCATCTACATCTGCAGAACGTGAAGAACCAGTGGCATTCACATCTGCAGATCACGAAGAAGCAGTGGCATCGACATCTACAGGAAATTATGCAACTTTCAAATCCATTCCCTGTGTTTAGCGTACACGCCGAACAACATGTTTGGAGTCAACTTGAGTAAAGTTGGACTTACGAACAAATAGACTTACGAACACACCTCTAGAACCGAACTCGTTCCGTAAGTAGGAGTGTCCCTGTACGTTGAACTTCTTTCGCGCCACCGTACGTAGCCAACCGTGCTAATCGGAAGTAGCGCAATAAACTAATGTAATGAGTTTTCAATCTAGATGATTATGTAAAAGTGCGTCACAGATCCCAGTTGCTTCCCAATATCGGACGAGCGTTCCAGACGGCCGCAGAAGCGCATCTGAAAGCGCTGCACAATGGCGGCGACCCTACCTCTGCATATCGTGCCGAATCAGTCGGGCGGCAATAACTTTTCATCGGCTGCCAGAGGTCGCAAACGGGTTTTGATTCCTTACCCGTACCCGGCCGCACCAGGGTCGCAAACGGGTACCCGTACCTGGCCGGGTACGGGTAGCCGGGTATCGGGTAGGGTACAGGTATCGGGTACCCGGTTGTGACCTCTGTCGGCTGCCTAATGCTGCTGCTGCTGCTGTGTGGAAGCTACTTGGCTGTCGCTCCACACATGAAGCTCCGGGTCTTTCTCGGCCACAGTAATGCCCGCCCTCACTTCTCTACGCTTGCGAAACGTGGACCCCTCTTATAGAACATCTGCGTCGGTAAGAAACATTGAGGCTGGCCCTGCCGTTGATGATCCATCTTGGGTTTAACCTGCAGGCTGGATTTTGTGAGGAGCTCACAAATCCTTGAAAGATCTGGACAAAGTCCCATGGGTGAGCTCCTCCGGCAGGCAAGGCTGTGTTGGCTGGGTCATGTAGCCCACATGCCCAGCCACCGCATGCCTAAACAGCTTTTGTTCGGCCGGATCGAGGGGGCTAAACGGGCGCGGCACGAGCTGGAGAAAAGATGGATTGATGTGGTATAGAAGGATGTGGAGCTGAGTGGACTTGCGCTCCATCCTGAGTTTAACCAGGCTGGATTGCACTTTTAAATGTAGATTGAAAATGTATTAGTTTTAGAACCGGCTTGTTGTGTTTAGTTTGTTGTCCTTCCGTTCCCGGCACCTCCAATTAGCACGGTTGGCTACGTACGGTGCATGAGAAGTTCAACACCAACACACACACGTACACACTGCTAGTCCTCCACGATTGTGAAATGCACGGAACGACTCCAAGGATACCACTTCTACTACCATTGACGAACACGCAGGGGACACTGAGACGCAGAGAGACAGAGACGGTGAGACGCAGATCGACGCAGAGAGACGGAGAGAGATGGGGAGACAGAGACATGGAGAGACGCACTTTGCTCCATTGAACAGCATCATCACGACCACCACCACCATTACACCATCAATATAAAAGCTTGTAGATTGAAAACTCATTTTGTTAGAGCTGCTTGTTGTTGTTGTGTGTTTAGTTTGTCGTCCTGTCACCCGTCCGCACCTGCGATTAGCGCTGTTGGCTACGTTACGGTGGTGGTGCGAAAGAAGTTCAAACGCACACACACGTACGCACGCACACACACACGTACACACACGTACACGCACACATGCACACACACTCACGTACACACGCACACACACGTACATACACGTACATACACGTACATGCACACGTACACACACACTTGTACATGCGCACATGCACACTCACGTACACACGCACACGTACACACACACACTCACGTACACACACGTACACACACACGTACACACACGCTTACACACGTACACACACACGTACACACACACGTACACACACACACAGGGGCAACCCTCATCCTCTCTCTGTCTCAAGTCTCTGGTTCACAATCACGTGACCCTCAATGAGTCGACTCCTCTGGGTGTTGGTGGTGGGGGGGGAGGGAGGGAGGATGGAGAGGGGGTAGAGAGAGAGGGGGAGAGGGAGGGAGGTAGGGTAGGGGAATGGGGGAGGGAGAGTGGGGAGATTTGGAGAGTGGGGAGATTTGGAGAGCGGGGAGATTTGGGGGGTGGGGAGATTTGGGGGGTGGGGAGATTTGAGGGGTGGGGAGATTTGGAGAGTGGGGAGATTTGGGGCGTGGGGAGATTTGGGGCGTGGGGAGATTTGGGGCGTGGGGAGATTTGGGGCGTGGGGAGATTTGGGGCTCCCTCCAGGAGGGGAAGGCGCTGCTCAGTCCAGGAACTTGCGGTTGGGGTTTGATCCAAAGAGGGAGACCCGGATCTCTGGCAACATCTGTTACGCAAGAATCATCATCATCATCAGCAGCAGTCATCATCATCATCAGTGTCATTATCATCAGCAGCAGTGTCATCATCATCATCAGTGTCGTCATCAGTGTCATAATCAGTGTCATCATCATCATCAGCAGCGTCATCATCATCAGCAGCAGTCATCATCATCATCAGTGTCATCAGTGTCATCATCATCATCAGCAGTATCATCAGCAGTCATCATCATCATAAGTATCATCATCATCATCGTCATCAGTCGCATCATCAGTAGTCATCGTCGTCATCATCATCGGCATCACCAGCAGTGTCATCCTCATCACCTGTAGGATCATCATCAGTAGCATCAGGAATGGGTGAGCGTGAGTGGGAGTGAGTGCATTGGTAGGTGAGTGGGCGAGTGAGTGATTGACCTAATGCGGGTGGTAAGTAGGTGGATGGGTGAGTGGGTGAGTGAGCGATTGGGCATGAGTGAGTGTGTGGTGGATGAGAGTGATTGGGTGAGTGGACAGGTGAACGAGCGAGTGAATGGGTGAGCATGAGTGGGAGTGAGTGCATTGGTGGGTGAGTGGGCGAGCTCGGTAGGCGAGTGGGTAGGTGAGTGCGTGTGTGGGTAGGTGAGTAGCTAGGTGAGTGAGTGGGTAGGCAAGTGCGTGTGTGGGTAGGTGAGAAGGTAGGTGAGTGGGTGGTGAGAAGGTGAGGTGAGTGGGTGTGTGGGTAGCTGAGTGGGGACCTGCTGAGCCCTGAGTTCCAGTCGACTAGGATGTTACAGCACTTGATTTTGTGAGTAGGTAGGTGAGCTGGTAGGCGAGTGCGTGTGTGGGCAGGTGAGTGGGCAGGTGAGTAGGTGAGTGGCTAGGTGAGTGAGTGGGCAGGTGAGTGGGCAGGTGAGTGGGCAGGTGAGTGGGCAGGTGAGTGGGCAGGTGAGTTGGTAGGCGAGTGGATAGGTGAGTGGGTAGGTGAGTAGCTAGTTGAGTAGGTGAGTAGGCAGGTGAGTAGGTGAGTGAGTGGGTAGGTGAGTGGCTAGGTGAGCAGCTAGGTGAGTGAGTGGGTAGGTGAGTGGCTAGGTGAGTGGGCAGGTGCGTGGGTAGCCGGGCGCTGACCTGCTGAGCCATGAGTTCCAGCCGACTCTCCAGGGTGTTGGAGCACTTAATCTTCCCATCCTGACTGTACACCTCCACTCCCCCAGACCTACACACACAGACACGCACACACACAGACACACACGTACACACGCACACACACGCACACACACAGACACACACACGCACACACACAGACACACACACGCACACACACAGACACACACACGCACACAGACACACACACGCACACAGGCACGCGCACACACACAGGCACGCACATACACACGCACGCACACACGCACAGGCACGCACACACACGCACACACACGCACGCACACACACAGGCACGCACACACAGACACACACACGCACGCACACAGACACGCACACACATACAGACACGCACACACACACACAGACACGCACACACACAGACACGCACAAAGCAAAGAAGCCCCGTATAGCCGTTAATAAACCGTTGGGGCAAGTGCTCTTAGCGAGCGGCACCTATGAAGGCTACCGGCACTGTGGCACACGAGGGGGTGGGTGGCCAGCACCACGCCCGGCCGCCTTTGTCTCCCCAGTGGCGATGTTCACTACACACTACACCAGGTACTCATTTGAGGCCGAGTTAACCTAGGGGAGGCCCAGGACCGGTTCAGATAATCGTCACTACTGGTGTTGGTCGTTTAGCGGGAATCAAACTCGGGTCGCCGGGTTCGTAGCGCAGCGTAGCGCTAACCACTACGCTACCGCTCCCCATGCACGCGTACACACACACACACACGCGTACACACACACGTACACATGCGTATACACAGACACGCGTACACACACACACACACGTACACATGCGTATACACAGACACGCGTACACACACACACACGTACACATGCGTATACACAGACACGCGTACACACACACACACGTACACATGCGTATACACAGACACGCGTACACACACACACACGTACACATGCGTATACACAGACACGCGTACACACACACACACGTACACATGCGTATACACAGACACGCGTACACACACACACGTACACATGCGTATACACAGACACGCGTACACACACACACGTACACATGCGTATACACAGACACGCGTACACACGCGCGTACACACATGTACAGACACACAGACGTGTACTGACGCGTACACACACTCACACGCGTACACACAACCACATGTGCGTGCGTGTGCGTGCGTACACTTCAAGAGGCAGGAAGACCGTCTCGTCCACGCGAGCGTCCAGATCTTTCTTGGTGACGTCGCGGTACGTGGGCAGCACCGTCTGCACCGCAGCCTGCATCACCAACATCACCACCATCATCATTACCATCACCACCATCGTCATCATCAACGACATCACCAACATCACCACCATCACCGTCACCACCATCATCACCATCACCACCGTCACTACCATCACCACCATCACCACCATCACCACCATCATCACCACCACCACCATCACCATCGTCATCACCACCATCACCATCGTCATCACCACCATCACCATCGTCATCATCACCAACATCACCACCATCATCATTACCATCACCACCATCATCATTACCATCACCACCATCACCAACATCACCACCGTCACCACCACCATCGTCATCATCACCATCATCACCATCATCACCGTCACCACCATCATCACCGTCACCACCGTCACCACCGTCACCACTGTCACCACCATCAACACGTTCACCATCATCACCACCACCATCACCACCGTCACTACCATCACCGTCACCACCATCACCATCATCACCATCATCACCACCGTCATTACCATCACCACCATCACCACCACCACCGTCACTACTATCACCACCATCACCACCATCAACACTGTCACCACCATCACCATCATCACCAACATCACCACCGTCATTACCATCACCACCATCACCACCACCATCACCAACATCACTACCATCACCACCATCACTACCATCACCACTGTCATTACCACCATTACCACCATCACTATCATCACCATCATCACCATCATCACCACCGTCATCACCACCATCACCACCATCGTCATCATCACCATCATCACCATCATCACCGTCACCACCGTCACCACCATCATCACCATCACCACCGTCACTACCATCACTACCATCAACACCGTCACCACCGTCATCACCACCGTCATCACCACCGTCATCACCACCGTCATCACCATCATCACCATCACCACCATCACCAACATCACCAACATCACCACTGTCATCACCACCGTCATCACCACCGTCATCACCACCATCACCATCATCACCATCACCAACATCACCACCGTCATCACCACCGTCATCACCACCATCACCACCATCATAATCGCCGCCATCATCACCATTACGGCCATCACTACCATCATCACCATCACCACCATCACTACAGTCACCACCGTCACCATCATCACCACCACCATCACTACCATCATCACCACCATCACTACCATCATCACCACCATCACCACCATCACTACCATCATCACCATCACCACTGTTGAAGTGATGGTGGTGATGTTGATGGCGGTGGTGATGGTGATGATGTTGATGGTGGTGGTCGTGATGTCGATGGTGGTGATGATGGTGGTGATGTTGATGATGGTGGTGGATGATGATGATTGTGATGTTGATGATGGTGATGTGATGGTGGTGATGATGTTGATGATGGTGGTGATGGTGATGGTGCTATGATGACGACGGTAGTGACGATGGTGGCCGTGGTGATGACGGTGGTGGTGGTGGTGATGGTGGTGGTGATAGTGGTGGTGGTGATAGTGGTGATGGTGGTGGTGATGTTGCTGGGTGGTGGTGTCACCTTAACCATGGCCACGTCCACCTTACGGCACCGGATAATCACCACGGGCTCCAGCAGCTGGTACAGACCCTGCAACAACAACATCACCATCACCACCATCATCATTACCACCAACATCATCACCACCACCATCACAACCATCGTCATGTCTCTCCGCGTATGTCCCTGTGCATGTTTCTGTGCGTGCGTGTCTCTGTGCGTGTCTCTCCGTGCGTGTCTCTGTGCGTGTCTCTGTGCGTGTCTCTCTCTCCGTGCGTGTCTCTCTCTCCATGCGTGTCTCTGTGCGTGTCTCTGTGCGTGTCTCTCTCTCTCTCCGTGTGTCTCTGTGTGTGTCTCTGTGCGTGTCTCTGTGCGTGTCTCTGTGCGTGTCTCTCTCTCCGTGCGTGTCTCTGTGCGTGTCTCTGCGCGTGTCTCTGCGCGTGTCTCTCTCTCCGTGCGTGTCTCTGTGTGTGTCTCTGTGCGTGTCTCTGTGCGTGTCTCTGTGCGTGTCTCTGTGCGTGTCTCTGTGCGTGTCTCTCTGCGTGTCTCTGTGCGTGTCTCTGTGCGTGTCTCTCTGCGTGTGTCTCTGTGCGTGTCTCTGTGCGTCTCTCTGCGCGTCTCTGTGCGTGTCTCCGCGCGTGTCTCCGCGCGTGTCTCCGTGCGTGTCTCTGTGCGTGTCTCTCTGTGTGTCTCTCTGCGTGTCTCTCTGCGTGTCTCTCTGTGCGTGTCTCTGTGCGTGTCTCTGTGTGTCTCTGCGTATGTGTCTCTGTGCGTGTCTCTGTGCGTGTCTGTGTCTCTCTCTCCGTGCGTCTCTCTGTGCGTGTCTCTGTGCGTGTCTCTGTGCGTGCCTCTCTGTCTCTCTGTGCGTGTCTCTGTGCGTGTCTCTCTCCGTGCGTGCGTCACCTGCAGCAGGAGACCGTCCAGCAGTGCCTGGTAGCGCGCTTGGTTCTTGGTGACCTCCGCCTGCCGACGCCGCCCCTCGCTCAGCAGCTCCTGCACACACGGCCGGGGGGCGGGGGGGAGGGGGGGAGGGGTGGAGGCGGAGGGGAGGGGGGGAGGGGTGGGGGCAGAGGGGGGGGGTCACGTGGTCAAGACGCGACAATTCCAAACTGATCTTGGTGCGGCCCCAGCGACAGCTGTCCCCCTGTGCGTTGACCCAGAATCGTGGTTTATTTGTGGGGAGTTCGGTCTGCGTGAATATCGAGGTCGCGTCGGGAAGCCCGCCGACACCGCCCGGCACGGCCCAATCAGCAAGAGGGTCTCTCCCCGTGTCGCGTTAACGGAGCGCGCCAACTCGTTACGGGCACGGCGCTACAACGGTGGGTCAGAGAGAGCAAAGCCACAACATCATCACTTACGACCTTGTACCTCGTGCAGTGTCAATGTTGCGGATCTACTCTCCAACACACCCGGGGCTGGACCAGTGACGAATTGGCCACGTTCTGTTCACGTGACAAACCTCGCCGATTGGCTGTGTCGGGTGGTGGCCGTTTTAGCGACACATTCATAGATTTACGCGATCTAACCCAAAAAAAACTATATGTTACGGACGATATTGGCTGCGAAAGCCTGCGTGTTAAACCGTTATAATTACCACCGTTACCACCACCGTCACCACCATCATCACCACCATAATCATCACCACCACCATCACCACCATCACCACCGTCACCACCACAGTCACCACCGTCACCACCACAGTCACCACCGTCACCACCACAGTCACCACCGTCACCACCATCACCACCACCGTCACCACCACCGTCACCATCACCGTCACCACCACCGTCACCACCACCGTCACCACCACCGTCACCACCACCACTGTCACCACCACCACTGTCACCACCACTACCGTCACCACCACCACCGTCACCACCACCACCGTCACCACGACCACCACCACAGGTCACCTGCACGAGGTCCTCGCGAGCTCGGAGCACCTTGAGCCGGGCCTGGTTCATCAGGTTGGACATCTGTCTGTGGACGGGGAATTTGGGGGTGGGGGGAGATAGAGGGAGGGAGAAGAGAGGGGGGGAGGCAGGGAGAGGGGGTAGAGAGGAGAGAGAGGAGAAGAGATGGGGGGAGAGGGAGAGTGAGAGGAGAGGGGGGGGAAGGAGAGAGGGGGGGGGAGAGAGGGGGGAGACGGAGGGGAGACGGAGAGGGGGGAGAGGGGGGGGGGAGAGTGAGAGTGAGTGGGGAGAGGGGGGAGAGGGAGGGGAGAGTGGGGAGAGGGAAAGAGAGGGGGAGAGAGGGGGAGAGTGAAAGAGAGGGGGAGAGAGGGGGAGAGTGAATGGAGGAGAGAGGGGGGAGAGAGCGGGAAAGCCAGAGGGGGGGGAGGGAGAGAGTGGGAGGGAGGGAGAGAAAGATGGGGAGAGTGGGAGGAATGCGGGGGAGAGGAGATGGAGGGAAAAAAAGAGAGGGGGAGAGAAGGAGAAAGAGAGAGGAGAAGGGAGAGAGAGAAGAGAGACAGAGGGTGAGAGAGAGGGTGAGAGAGAGGGGCGAGAGAATCAGAATATTTATACTCGAGGAATCCAATGAGCTATGAAGCTCTTTGTTCACAGGACATCCAGAAGAGGGCACGGGGTCAGAACCACAAGCGACGCTGCACACAACCACGACAGGGCTGCACAGTGGAGGAACGGTAAAGCTAATCACCGTAATATACAAACACACAATCCTATTATTATATGTTGGCACTGGCAAAGGAGGTCTAATGATGTAGATGCTCACCCCGAGCCCTCGTTACTTTGATAGCGCAGCATTGTCTTTGAGCTGTGGACGCCTTTTGGCGTCCTCTGGTCGAGCAATAATTGGGTCGAGGCTCAAAAGAAAGCCGTCTCTGGTGTGGACCAATCAGTTTCAAGGACGATGCATATATTAACATAGTATGTTTTTTGTTTGCATTTTGACTGCAAGTATTGTGGTTAATGCAGACATGAATCCTCGTAAAAAGGTTTCAGTTTTGTTGCCAGAAAAAAGGGGAAAAACCCCCCTATTATTATAACCACAGAGTAAGTTTCACCCTCTCTGTCCTTGCACTGGTCGCCTGTTGGTGATGTTCGCTGGTCTAACGCCGGCGGTGAGACTGGGCCATGAATAACACGGCGACCGTCACTCTGGTGGAGGCCAATCAGTTTCAAGGACAATGATGTCACGTCATTATTAGTATCAGAGCCATGTTTGTTTACATGGTTTGCCACATACTCAGAGACCCAGAGACCCATACTCATAGCGACCTATAGACCCATACTCATAGAGGCCAATCGAGACTTACATTGACCCACACTCATAGATACCCACAGAGACCCAGACCCATACTCATAGACTCAGACACCCAGAGAGACCCATACTCATAGAGACCCATACTCAGAGACCGACAGAGACCCACAGAGACCCAGACCCATACTCAGACTCACAGACACCCACAGAGACCCATACTCAGAGACCGACAGAGACCCACGGAGACTCATACTCATAAAGACCCAGTTATAGAGCCCCACAGAGACCCATACTCAGATACCCACAGAGACCCATAGACCCATACTCAGAGACCCTTACTCATAGAGACCCACAGAGACCCATACTCAAAGAAACCCATACTCAGAGACCCACAGAGACCCATACTCAAAGAGACCCACAAGGAGACCCGCAGATACTGATACTCAGAGACCCACAGACACCCACAGAGACCCACAGTTTACACCACTTCCTCCCTGAGGTCTGCCCGGGGGAGAGCTGTTGGCTTTGTGAGAATGGAAACTACCTCCACCACCTCCACCACCACCTCCACCACCACCTCCACCACTACCTCCATCACCACCAGCACCAGCACCACCACCAGCACCACCATCAGCACCACCAGCACCACCAGCACCACCACCACCACCACTCACATCTTCTTCTGCTGGTCGATCTGCTTCTCCTTCTTCTCGTAGTGCTCCATGATCTTGAGGCGCTGAGTCTGCACCAGGCGGCCCTTCTCAATGTTGAACTCCTCCTCCGCCTAGACAGACAGAGACGGACAGAGACGGACAGAGACGGACAGACACAAAGACAAAGGTCCCCCGGGTAGGCTTGCAACAAACGGGCGGGAGGAGCAAGAAAAGAGCGAGGGTAGGAGGTAGGATGAGGGAGGAAGGATGAGAAGGGTGGAAGGACGGAGGGAGTTTCAGCGCAGGGAGGGAGTTTCAGCGCAGGGAGGGCTCACCTTAGCGTCGATCTCCTCCGCTTTCTCGTTGGCCTCTTGCTCGATGAAAGCCATCATGTGCTTTATCTGCCAACAACAAAGACAAAGATACCCCCTGTAGAACTCACTCACCCACTCACACACCCATTGACTCACCCACTCACCCACCCACCCACTGACTCACAAACTCACTCACACACTCACACATGCACTGACTCACCCACCCACTGACTCACTCACTCACCCACCCACCGACTCACAAACTCACTCAGCCACTCACCCACCCACTGAATCATGCACTCACACACTCAATCACCCACTGACCCACACACCCACTGACTCACACACTCACTCATTCACTCACCCACCCACTAAATCACGGACTCACACACTCACCGACACACACTCAGCTACTCAGCCACTCACACACCCACTGAGTCACACACTCACCCACTGACTCACACACCCACTCAAGCACACACTCACTGACTCAGGCACTCAGCCACTCACCCACCCACTGACTCACCCATCCACTAACTCACTCACTGACTCAGGCACTCAGCCACTCACCCACCCACTGACTCACCCATCCACTAACTCACTCACTCACTGACTCACGCACTCAGCCACTCACCCACCCACTGACTCACCCATCCACTAACTCACTCACTCACTGACTCAGGCACTCAGCCACTCACCCACCCACTGACTCACCCATCCACTAATTCACTCACTCACTGACTCAGGCACTCAGCCACTCACCCACCCACTGACTCACCCATCCACTAACTCACTCACTCTCTGACTCAGGCACTCAGCCACTCACCCACCCACTGACTCACCCATCCACTAACTCACTCACTCACTGACTCAGGCACTCAGCCACTCACCCACCCACTGACTCACCCATCCACTAACTCACTCACTCACTGACTCAGGCACTCAGCCACTCACCCACCCACTGACTCACCCATCCACTAACTCACTCACTCACTGACGCAGGCACTCAGCCACTCACCCACCCACTGACTCACCCATCCACTAACTCACTCACTGACTCACGCACTCAGCCACTCTCCCACCCACTAACTCACCCATCCACTAACTCACTCACTCACTGACTCACACACTCAGCCACTCACCCACCCACTGACTCACCCATCCACTAACTCACTCACTCACTGACTCACGCACTCAGCCACTCATCCACCCACTGACTCGCCCATCCACTAACTCACTCACTCACGACACCCAAAGACAAGCATCCCTCGTATAGGCTTCACAGACTGTTGGGGCAAGTGTTGCTAGCTAACAGCAGCACCTACGAAGGCCGGCACTGTAGCACACGAGGGGGTGGGGTGGCCAGAACTACGCCCGGCCGCCTTTGTCTCCCCAGTGGCGATGTTTCCTACACATCGCACCGGATACTCATTCGAGGCCGAATCGACCTAGGGGAGGCCCAGGACCGGTTCAGATAATCCTGACCGGTGTTGATGGCCGTGAGCGGGAGTCGAACTCGGGTGATTGCCCGGTTCGTAGCGCAATGCAAGCGCGCTAACCGCAGCGCCACCGCTCCCCGCACTCCGTGTTGTACTCATAACAATATTATTACAACCCAGCTTAAATATACGCTCCAAGCCTGGGGTGTTTCATTCAGATGCTGTCTTCCCGACAGCCCTGTTCTTCACCTGAGGACGGCTGCTTGCGTTGTGGCCGAAACGTCGTGAGAATTTTTAGTATTTTATTATTTCCCTTCTACGTGACTTTACCGAAAGAACCAAGAAGATGAATCCCTGCAGTCACGAAAGCTTTAAATCGAAATTTAATATTATTACATTTTCGTGATATCTCCTTGAGACGTCAATGACCGTGATTATATCGCCTCGCTTTCTGGAAGTTGTGTCATTTCGGCAGCGTTTGTTCAGCAAATGCACACACACACACAAAATTAACCCGTGAAAACAAAGTTTTTCACTATAAATCCTTTATATGCGTGGCATCGGTTTTATTTTATTATTCATTTCTGTTTTTATCGAGTAAGAGTTTCATTTTTATCACATTGGTATTTTAAATTAAATATGAAAAAAAAAATTCCTAAAAAGAGGAAAATTTTGGAAAAAAAAAATTCACGAACATAAATTGTCACGCACAACGAGTCTGCGTGCAGAATGTCAGCTCGATTGGATCACGGCAAGTGGGTTAAAAACGACCGAAAGATTTGCACGGTCGTAAGCGCGCAAGCAAGCAAGCAAGTGAACTTAATATAAAGGATTTTAAAAAACCCTGGACCCGTTTCAGACATTCAGTGCCTCAGCAGCAGCAGAGCCTGGCTCTGCTTGAATCAATGATGACGAATTTCCCCAGATGTCTATAGGCAAGGGCCGGTTTCAACATTCAGTGTATCAGCAGCAGAGCCTGGCTCTGCTTGAATCAATGATGACGAATTTCCCCAGATGTCTATAGGCAAGGGCCGGTTTCAACATTCAGTGTATCAGCAGCAGAGCCTGGCTCTGCTTGAATCAATGATGACGAATTTCCCCAGATGTCTATAGGCAAGGGCCGGTTTCAACATTCAGTGTATCAGCAGCAGAGCCTGGCTCTGCTTGAATCAATGATGACGAATTTCCCCAGATGTCTATAGGCAAGGGCCGGTTTCAACATTCAGTGTATCAGCAGCAGAGCCTGGCTCTGCTTGAATCAATGATGACGAATTTCCCCAGATGTCTATAGGCAAGGGCCGGTTTCAACATTCAGTGTATCAGCAGCAGAGCCTGGCTCTGCTTGAATCAATGATGACGAATTTCCCCAGATGTCTATAGGCAAGGGCCGGTTTCAACATTCAGTGTATCAGCAGCAGAGCCTGGCTCTGCTTGAATCAATGATGACGAATTTCCCCAGATGTCTATAGGCAAGGGCCGGTTTCAACATTCAGTGTATCAGCAGCAGAGCCTGGCTCTGCTTGAATCAATGATGACGAATTTCCCCAGATGTCTATAGGCAAGGGCCGGTTTCAACATTCAGTGTATCAGCAGCAGAGCCTGGCTCTGCTTGAATCAATGATGACGAATTTCCCCAGATGTCTATAGGCAAGGGCCGGTTTCAACATTCAGTGTATCAGCAGCAGAGCCTGGCTCTGCTTGAATCAATGATGACGAATTTCCCCAGATGTCTATAGGCAAGGGCCGGTTTCAACATTCAGTGTATCAGCAGCAGAGCCTGGCTCTGCTTGAATCAATGATGACGAATTTCCCCAGATGTCTATAGGCAAGGGCCGGTTTCAACATTCAGTGTATCAGCAGCAGAGCCTGGCTCTGCTTGAATCAATGATGACGAATTTCCCCAGATGTCTATAGGCAAGGGCCGGTTTCAACATTCAGTGTATCAGCATCAGCATCAGCAGCGAGTGAGTTTGGAGCGAGGAAGGGGGGGGGAGCACGCGCGCGTCACGTGACTTGTTTTATTTCACATCCGGTTTAAATTCTCCCCCCCCCCCCATCATCACGTGAGACGACAACGACGACTTCCGATTTAAAGACACGAACACCGGCTTGTGTGGCGGTGGTGGCGGTGGTGGCATGAGGCTTTGACGACACAACTACCACCACCACAACCACCAGCACAACCACCAGCACAACCACCACCACAACAACAACCACCAACACAACCACCAACACAACCACCAACACAACCACCACCAACACAACAACAACCACCAACACAACCACCACCAACACAACCACCACCACACCCACCTACACAACCACCACCACCAACACAACCACCACCACAACCACCACAACCACCAGCACAACCACCAGCACAACCACCACCACCACAACCACCACCAACACAACCACCACCACGACACCATATTGTATTCCCGTGCCACCCGTGGTGTTGGCGTTGTAACGAACGCGATCTTTTACTACGTACGGCGAGAAAGAAGCTCAACGTAGTGTTACATTCATTCAAAATACAGTACAGAGTACACAAAGACAAAGGTTCCCCCAGGTAGCCTCTAACAGGCTGTAGGGGCAAGTGCTGTTAGTAGCGAGTGGCACCTCGCCCTACACACAGAGACAAAGGTTCCCCCAGGTAGCCTCTAACAGGAGTGTAGGGGCAAGTGCTGTTAGCAAGCGGGTAGCAGCAGCGTCTATGAATGCCGGCACTGGTACACCACGCCCGGCCGCCTTTGTCTCCCCCAGTGCTAGCGATGTCTACTACTACTCCACACCGCTACACCAGGTACTCATTTGAGGCTGAGTCGACCTAGGGGAGGAGGCCCAGGTGCGGTGTTGGTGGTGGCGCTAACCACTACACCACCGCTCACCAACCATACATAGTACAGTACAACATACATAGTACAGTACAACATACGTAGTACAGTATAACGTACGTCCAAAATGCAGATTGTAAACACACAACCGGTGTAGTGCTACACTATACACTACACTACTATGCACTACACTACTATTATACACTACACACTACACTACTACACTATACACTACTATACACTACACTGCACTACTATACACTACACTACTATACACTACAATACACACTACACTACTAAACACTCCCAGCCACCATGATGATGATGAGAGACGCAGACGCCACATACACAGCAGGCATCGTCAGGGGTCGGGATCGAACCCACGACCTCCTGTAGACCGGGCGAGGTCGTCAACATCTCCCAGCCACCGTGGTGCCATCACGGTTCGATTCAATGGAACCGCGGCCCGCGATGCTACAGCCGGGTCGCCCCCCTCACCTGCTTCTGAACGTCCGCATCGCTGAGCGCCATCTCGCCGAACAAGAAACAGACAGGAGGGAGGAGGAGAAATGGCGAATGTGACAATGGGAGTTGACGATTAAATTATCGCGGATTTTTTAATAAAAATTTGTAATTTTTTGCGAATCCCCGTCAGCCGCCTTCCGTCGCTCGCTCTGCCCTCAGCCGAATGGGAGCCGGGGGGGGTGGGGCAGGAGGGGGGTGAGGGGTAGAGGGGGAGGGGCCAAGGTGCGGGGGGATAATGGAGCTCTCTGATTGGCTTAACGCGCCGAGTGGGTGGGGTGAAGGGTGGAGGGGGGGATGATACGGCTCTCTGATTGGTTCAACGCGCTGAGTTGCGGAGTGTACGGAGGGGAGGGGTGAGGAGGGAAGAGGGGGGGTGATACGGGTGTTTGATTGGCTCAACGCGTCGAGAGGGGCGCTTCGAAGCGTGGAGGGGAGGGGGCAGGGGGGATAATGCAGCTCTCTGATTGGCTAAACGCTCTGAGTTGGGGCGTGTACAGGGGGAGGGTTAGAGGGGTGGGGGTGCGGGGGGGATAATGCGGCTCTCTGATTGGCTCACGCCGCAAAGATAACGCGCCCGGCAAGAGAGTTCGCCCTCCCCCCTTCGTGATTGGCTGAGGGGTGCGCTGTGGGCGGTCCCCACTCCTCATCACGTGCTGCGCTTTTGAGATGTGGGGGAGCTCGCAGCCAATCACAGCCCTGAGCTCTCAAGTCCCGGACTGTTCCACTTTACTTGTAGGGAGCGGCTAAAATAGGGGGAAATTAATTTTATTTACTCTAAAGTCTAAACTATTTTAATTTTATATATGAAGTTTATGAAACTATATTTTTTAGCAAATTTTCTAGCATTTCATAAACGAATGCGATGGTTAATTATGTTTCAAACGCTAAGGAAAAGAAATATAAATGTAAGTGAATATAAGATGCACCCCCTCCCGTTGTGTGATGTGGTGGTCCCACCCAACTCGCGTCTCGTGCGCAGTGACGTCACCAATCATTACGAAATCGATTCGATTCCTCGGTAACAATTCTTCCCACGCGTATGATTCCATTATATAGTTCCGCGATTAGTAATCGATTATTTAGAAGTCTGATTATATATTTCTGCAGGAGTGGCGCTGCATTATAATAACGGAATAGAGTCAGAAAATATATGATGAATTGATTTTTTTATTTAAAAAAATCGCCGAATCGATAAAGCTTAAATCCTTACTGAGTATAATTGTTTTGCCTATCGTAATCGATTCAAGAAGCGATTCCACCGTACCCGTTTGTATTGATTCAATTAATTCGATTAATTCAATTAAATTTATCGATTCAAATCCAACCGTTTGTCCAATCAGCGCAGACCAATCATATTAATGATGGCTTGCATACATTAGTGGTACCATGGGTTGACTGCTGTGCCAGGCTAGGTGCAGGAGGAGGTCACTGGACAGACATAGCAGGTGCCATGGGTTGACTGCTGTGTCAGGTTAGGTGCAGCAGGTCACTGGACAGATCCTGCAGGTGCCATGGGTTGACTACTGTGCCAGGCTAGGTGCAGGAGGAGGTCACGGGATAGACCCAGCAGGTGCCATGGGTTGACTGCTGTGCCACGCTAGGTGCAGGAGGAGGTTGACTGCTGTGCCAGGCTAGGTACAGGAGGAGGAGGTCACGGGACAGACCCAGCAGGTGCCATGGGTTAACTGCTGTGCCAGGCTAGGTGCAGGAGGAGGAGGTCACGGGACAGACCCAGCAGGTGCCATGGGTTGACTGCTGTGCCAGGCTAGGTGCAGCAGGAGGTCAAGGGGCAGACCCAGCAGGTGCCATGGGTTGACTGCTGTGCTCGGCTAGGTGCAGCAGGAGGTCACGGGGCAGACCCTGCAGGTGCCATTGGTTTACGGCTGTGCCAGGCTTATTTTGGATGATACGTGTTAAACTGTCATGGGTTTACTGCTGTGCCAGGCTAGATGTTAACTCCCTCACCTGGTGTACAGGAGATCGTGGGTTTGATCCTGTACCCTGACGACGCCTGCTGCTGTATATGTGGAGTTGGCATGTCTCTCTCTCCCTGTGGTGGTCACTGCGTGGATTTTATCTCCGGGTCCTCCGGTTTTTCCCTCCACATTAGAATCATCGTACATTTCCACGTGGTGATGATGATGATGATGACAGCCACCTGGCTGAGCTGATATCATTCATGATGACCCAGTACCGCTTCTGACAAAAGAGCTACACAACTCAGTGGGGTCTTAACTGGTAACAATAAAAAATAGTTTAGTTTTAGTATGGGTCTCGATGAGTATGGATCTCTATGATTCTATGAGTCTGTGGGTCTAAGGGTCTATGTGAGTCTCTGGGTCTCTGTGTGTGTCTATGGGCCTCTACGAGTACAGTATGTAGAATCAAGCGTTTAGACTTTGGCTGACGCTATGAATTACCACGCGAAGATGATGATATCAGCCACTCGTTTGAGCTGTTATCATTTGTGATGGCGACGTCGCTCCTGGAAAAGAGCTGCATTGCTAATGTGGGGCTTTGCCCGATAACAATAAACATAGTTTAGTGTGGGTCTCTCAGAGTGTGGGTCTCTATGGGTCTCTGAGTCTGTTGAAACTCGTGTTTAGAGTATTTGGCCGCTGCTATAAATATCCACGTGATTATGATAATATCAGCTACTTGGTCGAGATGCTATCATTTGTGTTGGCCAGGTGCCTTCTGACAAAAGAGCTACACAGCTCAGTGAGGCTTTACCCTGTAACAGTAAAACGTAGCTTACACTGCACCGTGACTTTATAGCGTTTAACCCATGGCACCTGCTGGTTCTGTCCCGTGACTTCCTGCTGCCAGCAGCGAACCGTCCACACCTCACGTGGCAGCCTCAAAGTGCACCCAGCCAGTGCCGGATGATCCTAGTAGCAAAATAAGAAACATAAAAAAAAACTTTTTTTAAAACACGCTTTAATGAAATGTACCGTACTAGCAATGGAAGAACTTCACGACTCCAGGAAGTGGCCCCGAAGCTTGCCATAACGTAAGGGGCAGTGGTGATTTACAGCCAACGTCAGTTGAGCGTGGACAATTAGACCCAACTCGAAACATCTATATATATAAAATCGCGAATCTGTCTGTCTGTCTGTGTGTCGCCGGACCATACGCACTTTCATTGGACGCCGGTTGCCCCTGGCAATGGCTAGCGACGCCTTCGCCGCTTTCATTGGACGGCGGTTGCTCCTGGCAACGGCTAGCGACGCCTTCGCCGCGGGCTGCAGTTTCATTGGACGGCGGTTGCCCCTGCCAACGGGTAGCCACGCCTTCGCCGCTTTCATTGGACGGCGGTTGGCCCTGCCAACGGATAGCGACGCCTTCGCCAAGGCCTGGACGCCATTTTTAATTGCAGTTAAAAATAGGCGCACGCAGTAACACGCGACTCTGACGTAAATTCATTGAAAGTTTCACTTCCTCTTCACTCCCCCCCCCCACCACAATGTGTGCTATTACTATTCTAGGGTTGGTACATTATGAAATTATAGCGATTACACACTATTATTGTAGCGCGGGGCGGGGGAACGCCACCCGTACCCTGCCTCTGCCGGGTGGCCAATTTAGGCGAGGCCGGAGGCTCTGCACGCTACTAGGCCTCCACACCCACCACGCGACTCTGAGGTAAATTCATCAAAGTTTCACGTCCTTTTCACTCCCCCCCCCACCACAATGTGTGCAATTAATATTACTTTTAAACCCAATGCGCCAATAATCTATTCTTTAAATGATGAATGTACAAATAGTCATTAAGCTGAGTGAGCGTACTGACAGTCTATAATGTAAACTGTAGCCTGCTTATTAAATTGCCTGAGTGTACTGGCAGTCTATAATGTAGACTGTAGCCTGCTTATTAAGCTCCGTGAGCGTACTGCCACTCTATCATGTAGACTCTAGCCTGCTTATGAAGCTGAGTGGCTGTACTGCCAGTATATAATGTAGACTGTAGCCTGGTTATTATAATCGATTCTTTAAATGTTCTTTGTACAAATAGTCATTAAGCTGGTTGAGCATACTGCCCGTCTATAATGTAGACTGTAGCCTGCTTATTCAGCTGCCTGGGTGTACTGCCAGTCTATCATGTACACTGTAGCCTGGTTATGAACTAAAGTTAGTCAATTTGTAACACGTACGCCGATTCCCACTCACGGCCACCACCGGTGACGATTATTTGAACCCGACCTGGGCCTCCCCTAGGTCGACTCAGCCTCACACGAGTAACTGGTGTCGTGTGTGAACATCGTCACTCGGGAGACAAAGGCGGCCGGCCGTGGTGAATCCAAGTACCCGGGCGAAGCCGGGTAGTAAAGCTAGTAACATATAAAAAAGATGGTTTAAAATCTTTTTTTTTTAATGATAGAATAAAGTATTGTCATCAATATGACATAAGTATACCAAGTTTGCAGTCGATAGCACATTGGGAAGTGGGTTAAAATTGAGTTACAAGATTAAAGGATACAACAACAGAGTGAGTTAAATAAAAGCGTGTAAAAAAGTTGCTACAAATGCTACGGGCCCCGCACTTTTAAGGGCCCCTCGCTAAATGCTTTCAAGCTCTTAATTCCGGTTCAGTGATTCTGCACTTGCTCTATTACTGTAGTACTATACCACCTTCAACTTTTATGAACGATTGGGACGTTTAAGGTTAGCGATTTGTCGTATTATCTGGCTGTATAGCAAATGAAAATATGTAATTACTTTACTGTGCAAGTTAACAATTTGTGTTTTTAAAATGTACGTGTTTTTATTGTATTTAGGACCCCTTTAACACATTCCTGTGGAGGGAGCTAGCTGGTAAGAACGTTGGGCTGCTCGGTCAATGGCCAGGGTCAATGGCCAGGGTCAACGGCGGCGTGGTGTATTCCGTAAAAATGGTCGACTGTGAGGGCGGGCACAAGCCGGCGTGAGTAGGTTAAACATTGAGTTTTATAAGGGCACCACGGGGTGACCAGCCCCTCCCCACCCAGCCCCACCCTCCCACCCCCCACCCAGCCCCTCCCCACCCTCCCCTCCCCACCCTCCCCACCCAGCCCCTCCCACCCTCTCCACCCAGCCCCTCCCTACCCTCTCCACCCAGCCCCTCCCTCCCCACCCAGCCCCTCCCTGCACGACGGACGGACGGACACAATAATCCCCTGTGGGCTGGTGTAACCAGGAGGTTCCTACCAGTAGTAAAGTGAGGATTGTATCTCACGCGAATTTTAAATCGTGTAAGATTTACGCTACGAGACGACTTCACGTTACGATTACAGCTACACATCTCGTACAGTGTTGATACGAGCGACTAGTTAATTGTACAAGATTTACTTTGCACTGAATGAGAATGTCGCGGTGAAGATTACCTTATAATATAACGTGATTTGATACGGATTGCATCACATTCTGATTACCTTACCCTCAGTGCCGGATAAAGTTAGTTCGGGGCCTGTAGCATGTGCTATAAAGGGGCCCAATTATTATTTTTTAAACGTAAACATTAAAACACATTTTTTACTTGCACAGTAAAGTATTTCAATTTTTTCATTTGCTATACAGCCGGATAATACGACTAATCGCTAACCTTAAACACCCAGTCGTTCATAAAAAAAAGTTGAAGGCGGTATAGTACTATAGTAATAGAGCAAGTACAGAATCAATTAACCCGAATTGATATCTTGAAATCATTTAGCGCGAGGCCCTTGAAGGTGCGGGGCCCGTAGCATTTATAGCAATTTTTGCGACTCCGATAATAACCCCCCCCACTCCCCACTCCCCCACCCCATCACTCCCTCACCACTCCCCCACCACTCTCCCGCCACTCCCCCCACCACTCTCCCGCCACTCCCCCCACCACTCCCCCACCCCATCACTCCCCCCACTCCCACTCCCCCCCCACCCCCCCACTCCCCCCACCCCCCCACCCCATGACTCCTCCCACTCCCCCACCCCATCACTCCCCCACCACTCCCCCACCCCCCACCCCATAACCCCCCATCCCCCACCCCATCACTCCCCCCACCCCCCACTCCCCCCACCCCCCATTCCCCCCACCCCCCCCAAACCCCCCACTCCCAACCCCCCTCTCACTCCCCATCACTCCCCCCACTCCTCCCACCACTCACCAACCGCCATTCTGCCCCCACTCACCCCCACCCCCTCGTCCCCCTCCTCCCCACCCCCCACTCCCCCAACCGCCATTCCGCCCCCACCCCCCACTCCCCCACCCCATCACTCCCCCCCACCCCTCTCACCCTCCACTCACCCCCACCCCCTCCTCCCCCCCACCCCCCACTCCCCTCCCCCACTCCCCCCCACCACCACCAACCGCCGCCATTGGCCACTGAGTGACGGTGACGTCACCACGGCGCCTGTGCCAGGCTGGGTGCACTTCGAGGCTGCCGCGTGAAGTGTCGACGGCTCGACACTGAGGTGGTGACGTCACGCGAGCGTTGTGTTTAACGATTTAACCACGTGACGATATTACGATATTAGCGTAAAGATATGAGCATTAGCTGAAGTGATGTGAATACGTTCGGATTACCTCAAGTAATGTTACATTTACCTGAGGCGATGTTACCTCCCGCGAGGTAAAGTTACGTCGCCTGAGGTAAAGTTACCTCACCTTCCATTGCATTCCGATTACCTTACCCTGAGGTAATAATCACGCGATAATTGTGTTTAATGATTTAACTACGTGAGAATATTACAATATGGGCATTAGCTGAAGTGATGTGAATACGTTCGGTTTACCTCAAATGTTACATTTACCTGAGTTAATGTTACCTCACATGAGGTAAAGTTACCTCACCTGAGGTAATGTTACCTCATCTGAGGTAAAGGTTACCTCTATCTTAGGTAACCTGAGGTTACCTCAGGTGGAGGTAAAGCTGGAGCTAGTACGTCATGGTAGAGGTGGGAGTTCACACACTTTACCACAAAGACAAAGATCCCCCGTGTAGCCTCTAACAGGCTGTTAGCGAGCAGCACCTACTAAGGCTACCGGCGCTGTGGCACACGAGGGGTGGGTGGCCAGCACCACGCCCGGCCGCCTTTGTCTCCCCAGTGGCGATGTTCACACACCGCTACACCGGGTGCTCATTTGAGGCTGAGTCGACCTAGGGGATGAGGTCCACGACCGGTTCAGATGATCGTCACCGCTGTTGGTGGTGGCCGTGAGCGGGAATGGAACTGGAGTCTCTGACCGGTCCTGGGCCTCTTCCCCTAGGTCGACTCAGCCTCAAATGAGTTCCTGGTGTAGCGGTGTGTAGTGAACATCGCCACTGGGGAGACAAAGGCGGCCGGGCGTGGTGCTGGCCACCCACCCCCTCGTGTGTCGTTCCGGCCTTCATAGGCGCCGCTCGCTCACAGCGCTTGACCCGACAGTCTGTTAAGGCCACACGGGGGATCTTAGTCTCGTATCCCTGTGACTCTGTCTCCATGTGACTCCATCTCCGTGACTGCGTCTGACCGTCGTCCGCGTCTCGTCCCTCCGTGTCTCTGCGCCTCAGCAGCAGCAGCAGCAGGAGATGGGCGACTTCCGAGACATCAGAGGCTTCTTCACCAAGGCCGAGTGGAGCGATCTGGCCGAGTGCGAGAAGCGGCGCTACAGGAACATCAAGCAGAACCACGCCGTCCTGCTGAACCTCGGTGGGTACGGCAGGCCGAGCCTCTTCGCAACTAAACTAATTCATCTTCTTGGTTCATCTTCTTGGTTCTTTCGGTAAAGTCACGTAGAATGGAAATAATAAAATAATAAAAATAAAACATAATACAATTATTTTATTATGTTTTATTTTTATTATTTTATTATTCTACGTGACTTTACCGAAAGAACCAAGAAGATGAATCCCTGCAGTCACGAAAGCTTTAAATCGAAATCTTCTTGGTTCTTTCGGTAAAGTCACGTAGAAGGGAAGTAATAAAATAATAAAAAATAAACAGAATAATTGTATTTTATGTTTTATTTTTATATTTTTATTATTGAATAAAACATAATAATTGTATTTTTTGTTTTATTTTGATTATTTCCCTTCTACATGACTAATAAAAATAAAACATAATAAAATAATTATCACGACGTTTCGGCTACAACACAAGCAGCCGTCCTCAGGTGAAGAAACAGAGCTGTCGGAAAGACAGCGTCCCAATGAACACCGCCAAGCTTGGCAGCGTATATTTAAGCTGGGTTAGAGGAGGAGGGCGCCTTGACAAAGGCATTTACATATCAAGAGGAATTTAGCAGTGTTATCAATATAACACTGGTCAACACACTTTTTCTGGCATAAGGTATTCCAAGGGGTTTAAGGTAATTTTGGGGTTCTGACTCCAAATCTGGCATCAGTTTTTGTCTATCACATCAGGTTTTTGAGATATGAAATATTGCATTTTCAATGAAAACTGCAGAAGAAAAATATTAAATAAATGTGGATATCTACATAAAATGATATCATAAACACACTATCCTAAAAATACAGCACCATATTTTAACACTAAAGCAGTCACTGACTCGCAACAACTTGCAATCATAAGTGACAGAGTAAATTTCGGGTAAAATCAATGAAAATGGAGTATGCCGATAGCATATAAGTATAACCCGTAAAAACAAAGTTTTTCACTATAAATCCTTTATATGCGTGGCAGCTAACTTAATATAAAGGATTTAAAAATATATTCGCCTGTGGAGGACGCGGGGATCGATCCCGCGACCTTTGGCATGGGAAGCGAGGGCGCTACCAACTGCGCTACTCCGCCACGGCCTGTGGAGGGGTTACGCTCTTGGCTCTTACACTCTGACGTTCAGCCAAAGCCATGAATTAGTTCTATCTGAATATATGTAAAATATTTTTTTTTTTGCCTAAAAAGTGTAACATTTTGGGAATTTTTTTTCACGAACAATAATTGTCTGGCACAACGAGTCTGTGTGGAAAATGTCAGCTCGATTGGATCACGGGAAGTGGGTTAAAAAACGACCGAAAGATTTGCACGGTCCTAAGCAAGCAAGCACGCAAGCACGCGAACTTAATATAAAGGATTTAAAAATGATGTGATAGAGCAAATCTGAGATCAGATTTGGAATCGGCACCCTGAAACTAGTCTAAAACAGCTGCAAAAGTCCAGGCCAGAAATCTTTTTTTTTTGTTGACCAGTGTAATCAATGTGCTCAATATACTCTCCAATAAGCTGAGCTATTAACATTAAGTAACTGGGTATACGCTACACTATATAATGACTATCATATAGTGAACCGATAAAAAACTAAAATATAAAATACATCAATGTAATCAATATACTCAATATACTCTCCAATAAGCTGAGGTACTAACAGTAAGTTATACATTACACTTCTATGTCGCAAAAAAAAATAATATGCCTCCAGCTAAACTTTTTTCTTACATCACACGCATATACCCCGTACTATACACTGCCATAGACCAACCCAACATTGAATTATACACTGCGTTACTATACACTACCTTAGACTATGCATTGTAATATTAGACTATGTATTATTCTACACACCCTACTGTATACCACACTGCTGTATATTCACTATACAATTACGATACTATATATTACCTTATACATTATATTAGACATTACACTGTTATACTATTTATTATTATACAATCTGCTATACACCATCTCATTGACCGTCGCGTGAAAGGTACGAAGAGGAAGCAACGAAATATATCAATGGGAGAGTGGTAGAAGGAGACTTGCAGCGGAGCAAAGACTCCATTTCGTGAGGAGAAAACGTGAACACAATCAGTTAAGATCCGAAATGGTTTATTACGTCCTTCCAATGATTGCTGAGCCAGAGTCCATCTTCTCAGTTGAAATTGTCTCTGTGTTTGTATATGTGGATGGCCTCATGAACGAATCTCTCATAGTAGCCGGATGGCTTGCAGAGAACCTCTGTCTTGGAGAAGTCAATGTCATGTGAGCCCACTGAATTATAACAATGGTCTGCCACGGCTGAGGTGTTCGTTCTACCGTGTTAGTAATTATAATGATGAGACCAAAACGTCGTAGCAGCGTGGCATGCATGGACCGCCATGGTGGCGAGATGTTAACTCCCTCTCATGGTCTACAGGAGGTCGTGGGTTCGATGGAGACCCTGACGATGCCTGTCATATATCTGGAGTCTGCGTGTGTCTCTCCCGGGTGAGATGTTAACTACCTCGCCTAGTCTACAGGAGGTCGTGGTTTCGATGCCGACGCTGACGAAGCCTGTCATATATCTGGAGTCTGCGTGTGTCTCTCCCCGGTGAGATGTGAATTCCCTTTCCTGGTCTACAGGAGGTCGTGTGTTCGATCCTGACCCTGACGCCTGCTGTGTATTTGGAGTTTGCATGTTCACTCTCCCCGTGGTCGCGATGGTTTTTCTCCTGGTCCTCCGGGTTTTCGCTCCACATGTAGAATCAACATCACGCGTTTAACGTATTTGATAATATTTAATCATTGTCTTTGAAACTGATTGGTCTACCCCAGAGACAGCCTTCTTCATGGCCTAGTCTCACCAGTGTCAGACCAGAGAACAACACCAAAAGGCGACCGGTACAAAGACAATGCAGTGTCAAGAGCATCTATAGCTCGGGGTGAGCAGCTATATCATGGGACCTTTTTGCCAGAATCAAAGTATGAAAAATAAGAATCGGTTTTACCCTTTCTGGCAATAAAACAGGAGGCGATAATATGTTCAAACACCAGATAGATTATTCCTTTTGCAAGGAATCAAGTTACTGCATTAACCACGCGTACTTGTGGTGATCACGCAAACAAACACGCTCTGATAATAATCACATCGTCAGGACTGTGTTACGAGGACCCGGTGTGTTGCTATGCTGCACCGGTGTACCGCCAATACGTACAAATAACAATGACCGACTGCCTTCTTGCGCAGGGATGAACCCGGCCCAGCCCGAGTTCATGCGCGCACGTGGCAAGCGCAGGGTGAGGGGGAATGGAGCGGAGTGCGGGCGGTCGAGCGACTCCGACGAGGAGTGGACGGGGAGGAGGAAGAGGAAGGAGGTGGCGATGCACGGAGGACGAAGAGGTGGAGGCAAACGTAAAAGGGCGCTTGCAGACCGTGCAGAGACCCCCTGTAGACTCACACAGAGACCCCCTGTAGACTCACACAGAGACCCCCTGTAGACTCACGCAGAGACCCCTGTAGACTCACACAGACAACCCCTGGAGACTGACGCAGAGACCCTCTGTAGATTCACGCAGAGACCCTCTGTAGACTCACACAGAGACCCCTGTAGACTCACTCAGAGACACCCTGTAGACTCACGCAGAGACCCCCTGTAGACTCACACAGAAACCCCTGTAGACTCGCACAGAGACCCCCTGTAGACTCACGCAGAGACCCCCTGTAGACTCACGCAGAGACCCCCTGTAGACTCGCACGGAGACCCCCTGTAGATTTCGATTTAAAGCTTTCGTGACTGCAGGGATTCATCTTCTTGGTTCTTTCGGTAAAGTCACGTAGAAGGGAAGTAATAAAATAATAAAAATAAAACATAATAAAATAAAATAATTCTCACGACGTTTCGGCTACAACGCAAGCAGCCGTCTTCAGGTGAAGAATGAGACACTGCCAAGCTAGGAGCTTATATATAATTCGTTTCGCATTAGAAGAAGTTACAGCAGCAGATGTTAGTGTAAATGCGTTTGGTATTACCTTAGAGTCGCGGCATCTCTTCAGAAAGGTGAGAGACTCGATTAGCTGAGCCTTCTTATCACGGAGCTTGTTGAAGGATCTCAAAGTTATGTGGAAACCCTCCCCGTAGAGGCGGTTAAATTTCGATTTAAAGCTTTCGTGACTGCTGGGTTTCATCTTCTTGGTTCTTTCGGTAAAGTCACATAGAAGGGAAGTAATAAAATCATAAAAATAAAACATAATAAAATAAAATAATTCTCACGACGTTTCGGCTGCGTGCGTGCGTGTGTTCACGTGTGTTCACGTGTGATCACGTGTGTGCATGTGTTCACGTGTGTGCGTGTGCTCACGCAGGAGGAGGCAAGGGGGCTGCTTCACGCTGGGCCACCGTGGGAGAGTCGCACGCGAGGGCAGCTCCCAGCAAGCGCAAGGTCTCTGTGCACAGCGCACGGCACTCCTCTCGTTACAGCTGCTGCTGCTGCTGTTGTCTTTAGTTTGTTGTCCTTCCGCCGCACCTCCCATTAGCGAGGTTGGCTACGTACGGTTACAAAGAAATTCAACATACATACAGTGAGGGAAAAAAGTATTTGATCTCCTGCTGATTTTGTACGTTTGCCCACTGACAAATAAATGATCAGTGTATAATTTTAATGGTAGGTTTATTTGAACAGTGAGAGACAGAATAACAACAACAAAATCCAGAAAAACGCATGTAAATTTTTTTATAAATTGATTTGCATTTTAATGAGGGAAATAAGTATTTGACCCCTCTGCAAAACATGACAGTACTTGGTGGCAAAACCCTTGTTGGCAATCACAGAGGTCAGACGTTTCTTGTAGTTGGCCACCAGGTTTGCACACATCTCAGGAGGGATTTTGTCCCACTCCTCTTTGCAGATCTTCTCCAAGTCATTAAGGTTTCGAGGCTGACGTTTGGCAACTCGAACCTTCAGCTCCCTCCATAGATTTTCTATGGGATTAAGGTCTGGAGACTGGCTAGGCCACTCCAGGACCTTAATGTGCTTCTTCTTGAGCCACTCCTTTGTTGCCTTGGCTGTGTGTTTTGGGTCATTGTCATGCTAGAATACCCATCCACGACCCATTTTCAATGCGCTGGCTGAGGGAAGGAGGTTCTCACCCAAGATTTGACGGTACATGGCCCCGTCCATCGTCCCTTTGATGCGGTGAAGTTGTCCTGTCCCCTTATCAGAAAAACAACCCCAAAGCATAATGTTTCCACCTCCATGTTTGACGGTGGGGATGGTGTTCTTGGGGTCATAGGCAGCATTCCTCCTCCTCCAAACAGGGCGAGTTGAGTTGATGCCAAAGAGCTCCATTTTGGTCTCATCTGACCACAACACTTTCACCCAGTTGTCCTCTGAATCATTCAGATGTTCATTGGCAAACTTCAGACGGGCATGTATATGTGCTTTCTTGAGCAGGGGGACCTTGCGGGCGCTACAGGATTTCAGTCCTTCACAGCGTAGTGTGTTACCAACTGTTTTCTTGGTGACTATGGTCCCAGCTGCCTTGAGATCATTGACAAGATCCTCCCGTGTAGTTCTGGGCTGATTCCTCACCGTTCTCATGATCATTGCAACTCCACGAGGTGACATCTTGCATGGAGCCCCAGGCCGAGGGAGTATGACAGTTCTTTTGTGTTTCTTCCATTTGCGAATAATCACACCAATTGTTGTCACGTTCTCACCAAGCTGCTTGGCAATGGCCTTGTAGCCCATTCCAGTCTTGTGTAGGTCTACAATCTTGTCCCTGACATCCTTGGAGAGCTCTTTGGTCTTGGCCATGGTGGAGAGTTTGGAATCTAATTGATTGTTTCTGTGAACAGGTGTCTTTTATACAGGTAACAAGCTGAGATTAGGAGCACTCCCTTTAAGAGTGTGCTCCTAATCTCAGCTCGTTACCTGTATAAAAGACACCTGGGAGCCAGAAATCTTTATGATTGAGAGGGGGTCAAATACGTATTTCCCTCATTAAAATGCAATTCACTTGATAACATTTTTGACATGCGTTTTTTTGGATTTTGTTGTTGTTATTCTGTCTCTCACTGTTCAAATAAACCTACCGTTCAAATTATAGACTGATCACTTCTTTGTCAGTGGGCAAACGTACAAAATCAGCAGGGGATCAAATACTTTTTTCCCTTACTGTATACTGTACTAGAGGAATCCGATGAGGTGTCAGGGTCGAGATCGAACCCGCGACTTCCTACGTACCAGGCGAGGGAGTTAACATCTCCTAGCCACCGCTGGTCACCGCACAAACTTTGCCCCCCTCACCCCACCACCCCCTCCGCTCAGACTAAAGCCGAAGCCCTGGAGTACGTGTGGAGCATCTTGCAGGGCGTGGAGGAGGAGCAGCAGCAGCAGGAGGAGGAGTCCAGGGGATTTGAGCTGAGGGAGGTGCACAAGGCCAGGATGGCGATGTTCAGGCTGGAGCGCAGAGCTACCGCCTGCAAAGAGGCCCTGAGGGTGGCGCTCACGAGGATACATGGAGGTGCGTAGCCTGCAGCGGGATTTATATTCACATCGCAACTCCACGCTCCCCTCTAATTCTCACGGAACGCCACTCTCCCCTCTATTCTCACCGGAACTCCAACCACAACTCCCTCTATTCTCACCAGAACTCCACACTCCCCTCTATTCCCACCAGACCTCCACACTCCCATCTATTCTCACCAGAACTCCACACTCCCCTCTATTCCCACCCAGAACTTCCACCCTCCCCTCTATACTCACCGGGGAACTCCACACTCTCCTCATATTCCCACAGAACTCCACGCTACCCTCGATTCTCACACCGGAACTCACACTCCTCCTCTATTTCCACTGGAACTCCACGCTCCCCTCTATTCTCACCGGAACTCCACACTCCCCTCTATTGCGCCACCAGAACTCCACACATCCCCTCTATTCTCACCAGAACTACCAACACTCCCCGCTACTTCCCACCGAACTCCACACTCCCCTCTATTCCCACCGAACTCCACACTCCCCTCTATTCTCACCGGAACTCCACACTCCCCTCTATTCCCACCGAACTCCACACTCCCCTCTATTCTCACCGGAACTCCACACTCCCCTCTATTCCCACCGGAACTCCACACTCCCCTCTATTCACCGAACTCCACACTCCCCTCTATTCTCACCGGAACTCCACACTCCCCTCTATTCCCACCGAACTCCACACTCCCCTCTATCTCACCGGAACTCCACACTCCCCTCTATTCCCCCGGAACTCCACACTCCCCTCTATTCTCACCGGAACTCCACACTCCCCTCTATTCCCCGGAACTCCACACTCCCCTCTATTCCCACCGGAACTCCACACTCCCCTCTATTCTCACCGAACTCCACACTCCCCTCTATTCCCACCGGAACTCCACACTCCCCTCTATTCTCCACCGGAACTCCACACTCCCCTCTATTCTCACCAGAACTCCACACTCCCCTCTATTCTCACCGGAACTCCACACTCCCCTCTATTCTCACGAACTCCACACCCCCTCTATTCTCACCAGAACTCCACACTCCCCTCTATTCCACCGGAACTCCACACTCCCCTCTATTCTCACCGAACTCCACACTCCCCTCTATTCCACCAAACTCCACACTCCCCTCTATTCCACCGGAACTCCACTCCCCTCTATTCCACCAGAACTCCACACTCCCCTCTATTCTCACCGAACTCCACACTCCCCTCTATTCCACCGGAACTCCACACTCCCTCTATTCTCACCGAACTCCACACTCCCCTCTATTCCACCGAACTCCACACTCCCCTCTATTCTCACCGGAATCCACACTCCCCTCTATTCCACCAGAACTCCACACTCCCCTCTATTCTCACCGAACTCCACACTCCCCTCTATTCTCACCGAACTCCACACTCCCCTCTATTCTCACCAGAACTCCACACTCCCCTCTATTCTCACCGGAACTCCACACTCCCCTCTATTCTCACCAGACTCCACACTCCCCTCTATTCTCACCGAACTCCACACTCCCCTCTATTCCCACCGGAACTCCACACTCCCCTCTATTCCACCAACTCCACACTCCCCTCTATTCTCACCAAACTCCACACTCCCCTCTATTCTCACCGAACTCCACACTCCCCTCTATTCTCACCGAACTCCACACTCCCCTCTATTCCCACCGGAACTCCACACTCCCCTCTATTCTCACCGGAACTCCACACTCCCCTCTATTCCCACCGAACTCCACACTCCCCTCTATTCCCACCGGAACTCCACTCCCTCCCCTCTATTCTCACCGGAACTCCACACTCCCCTCTATTCTCACCAGAACTCCACACTCCCCTCTATTCTCACCGGAACTCCACACTCCCCTCTATTCTCACCGAACTCCACACTCCCCTCTATTCCACCAACTCCACACTCCCCTCTATTCCACCGGAACTCCACACTCCCCTCTATTCCACCAGAACTCCACACTCCCCTCTATTTCCACCAACTCCACACTCCCCTCTATTCTCACCGGAACTCCACACTCCCCTCTATCTCACCGAACTCCACACTCCCCTCTATTCTCACCGGAACTCCACACTCCCCTCTATTCCACCGAACTCCACACTCCCCTCTATTCCCACCGAACTCCACACTCCCCTCTTCTCCCGGAACTCCACACTCCCCTCTATTCTCACCGAACTCCACACTCCCCTCTATTCTCACCAAACTCCACACTCCCCTCTATTCTCACCGGAACTCCACACTCCCCTCTATTTCACCGAACTCCACACTCCCCTCTATTCTCACCAGAACTCCACACTCCCCTCTATTCTCACCGGAATCCACACTCCCCTCTATTCACCGAACTCCACACTCCCCTCTATTCTCACCAGAACTCCACACTCCCCTCTATTCTCACCGGAACTCCACACTCCCCTCTATTCTCACCAGAACTCCACACTCCCCTCTATTCTCACCAGAACTCCACACTCCCCTCTATTCTCACCGGAATCCACACTCCCCTCTATTCCACCAGAACTCCACACTCCCCTCTATTCTCACCAGAACTCCACACTCCCCTCTATTCTCACCGAACTCCACACTCCCCTCTATTCTCACCGAACTCCACACTCCCTCTATTCCCACCGGAACTCCACACTCCCCTCTATTCTCACCGAACTCCACACTCCCCTCTATTCTCACCAGAACTCCACACTCCCCTCTATTCTCACCGGAACTCCACACTCCCCTCTATTCCCCAACTCTCCACACTCCCCTCTATTCTCACCGGAACTCCACACTCCCCTCTATTCCACCGGAACTCCACACTCCCCTCTATTCTCACCGGAACTCCACACTCCCCTCTATTCCACCGAACTCCACACTCCCCTCTATTCCCCGGAACTCCACACTCCCCTCTATTCCCACCGGAACTCCACACTCCCCTCTATTCTCACCAGAACTCCACACTCCCCTCTATTCCCACCGGAACTCCACACTCCCCTCTATTCTCACCGGAACTCCACACTCCCCTCTATTCCACCAGAACTCCACACTCCCCTCTATTCTCACCGGAACTCCACACTCCCCTCTATTCTCACGGAACTCCACACTCCCCTCTATTCTCACCAGAACTCCACACTCCCCTCTATTCTCACCGGAACTCCACACTCCCCTCTATTCTCACCAACTCCACACTCCCCTCTATTCTCACCAGAACTCCACACTCCCCTCTATTCTCACAACTCCACACTCCCCTCTATTCTCACCAAACTCCACACTCCCCTCTATTCTCACCGGAACTCCACACTCCCCTCTATTCCCACCGGAACTCCACACTCCCCTCTATTCCCACCGAACTCCACACTCCCCTCTATTCTCACCGGAACTCCACACTCCCCTCTATTCCCACCGGAACTCCACACTCCCCTCTATTCTCACCAGAACTCCACCTCCCCTCTATTCCACCAACTCCACACTCCCCTCTATTCTCACCGGAACTCCACACTCCCCTCTATTCTCACCAACTCCACACTCCCCTCTATTCCACCGGAACTCCACACTCCCCTCTATTCCACCAAACTCCACACTCCCCTCTATTCTCCCGGAACTCCACACTCCCCTCTATTCCCGGAACTCCACACTCCCCTCTATTCCCACCGGAACTCCACACTCCCCTCTATTCTCACCAACTCCACACTCCCCTCTATTCTCACCAAACTCCACACTCCCCTCTATTCTCACCAAACTCCACACTCCCCTCTATTCTCACCGGAACTCCACACTCCCCTCTATTCTCACCGAACTCCACACTCCCCTCTATTCTCACCGAACTCCACACTCCCCTCTATTCTCACCGAACTCCACACTCCCCTCTATTCTCACCGGAACTCCACACTCCCCTCTATTCTCACCGGAACTCCACACTCCCCTCTATTCTCACCAAACTCCACACTCCCCTCTATTCTCACCGGAACTCCACTCTCCTCAATCTCCCCTCTATTCTCACCGGAACTCCGCAATCTTTTGTTGCTGCTGATGGAAGTCGCCACTGCTGTTGATGCTACTGCTACATGTGCTCCTGTCAGTGCTGCTGCTGGTACTGATGCAGCCTATTAACCTAAACGATGTTTATTTTACCAGGGTAAGCCGCACTGAGCTGTGTAGCTGTTTTTCACAAGCGACCTGGCTATCACAAATGAGAGCTCAACGAAGTGACTTATCATCATCATTATCATTACGTGGACATTTATAGCAGCCAAATACTCTCAACGCGTGACGTTTATTCTAACGTCGAGGGGAAAAAACCGGAGGACCCGGAGAAAAATCCACGCAACCACGGGGAGGTATTCGCCATGAAAGTTTGCACACACAAGGATTTACTATGGCCGGAAGGTGCATACATTCAACACGTAGGAATAAGTGGTATACAGTCTAACTATACTAAAATTACAAAGTCTAACTAATACTAAGGGGCTAAAGTATGTAAAATTGTGAATAAGCGTACAATATAAAATGTAAACTAGCCATAATATACAATCTAAAAATACAAAAAGGGTAATATGTTGTAAACTATACAGTCGGATGGAACCCACGACCTCCTGTAGACCACGAGAGGTAGTCAACATCTCGCCGTGTTTGCCTGCAGGCTCCTCCGTGCCGCCGGCCTCCGCCCAGGCTGTGGCGGTGTCGCGCAGCGCTCGCTCTCGCTACGGCCCTGCGCCCGCGCGAGAGGCAAGTCTACCACAGAGGTGGAGGAGCCCCAGGACGACGACTTCTTCTGTGAGACCCCCTGCTCCCTCTCACTCTCTCTCACTTTCTCACTCTCTCTCTCACACTGTCCACTTTCTCACACTCTCTCTCACACTGTCACTTTCTCACTCTCTCTCTCACCTGTCACTTTCACACTCTCACTCTCTCTCTCACTTTCTCAACACTCTCACTCACACTGTCACTTTCTCACTCTCTCTCACACACTGTCACTTTCTCAAACTCTCTCTCACACCGTCACTTTCTCACTCTCTCTCACACACTGTCACTTTCTCACACTCTCTCTCACACTGTCACTATCTCACTCTCTCTCTCACACTGTCACTTTCTCACACTCTCTCTCACACTGTCACTTTCTCACAATGTCAGTTTATCACACTCTCACCTATCTATCTCTATTGCTCCCGCGCTCTCACTCGATACGTTCCACCTGCTCCCTCTCACACTCTCCCCCTTTCCTTCCCTCTCACACGCTCCCTTTCTCGTACTCTCACTTACCTCTCTCTCTTTTGCTCCCTCACTCAGGGATGCAGGGAGGGAGCAGGGAGGGTGACAGGGTTTACATCTCCGATGAGCGAGCTAAATAATCTTCTTGGTTCTTTCGGTAAAGTCACGTAGAAAACGTGACTTTACCAAAAGAACCAAGAAGATGAATCCCTGCAGTCACGAAAGCTTTAAATCGAAATTTGACCTAAAGAAGTTCACAATGCAGAGAGGGAGGGAGGGAGGCATCTGTCTGGAGCGCTCCTCACCCTCTCACTCTCTCACAGTGCCACTGCTGCTGCTGCTGTTGCTACTGCGGTTCGCCCTCCTCCCACTGCTGCTGCTGTGGCTCTCAGTCTGCGAGCTGTGCAGGGATTTCTACCTGGCGGAGTGCTCCGTGCACGGCCCGCCAGAGTTCATCGCGGACGCGGCCGTGGCCCCGGGAGTGGCCAACAGGGCCCGGCTCAGCCTGCCCCAGGGCCCTCACCGTCGGCGCCTCCTCCATCGCCGGCGCCGGCCTCGGGGTGTGGAGCAACAGGAAGAAGCTGCCCAAGGGGGTGATGTTTGGGCCCTACCAGGGAGAGGTGTCTGAGGAGAACCCCGTGAGCGAGTACTGCTGGCTGGTGAGCTGCTGCTGCTACTGCTGCAGCCTCCTCCTATTCCTACATCATCATCGTGTGTGTGGAGAGGAGGCTCGTGAAGGAGATGCAGAGAAACCCATAGCCTCACACAGTCACCCACAGACTTACACAGAGATCTAGAGACTGGCACAGAGAGACCCAGAGACTCACAGAGACCCATAGACTCACACAGAGACCCATAGACTCGCACAGAAACCCATAGACTCACACAGAGACCCATAGACTCGCACAGAGACCCATAGACTCGCACAGAGACCTATAGACTCGCACAGAGACCCATAGATTCACACAGAGACCCATAGACTCGCACAGAGACCCATAGCCTCACACAGTCACCCACAGACTCACACAGAGACCCAGAGACTGGCACAGAGAGACCCAGAGACTTTGCACAGAGACCCAGAGACTCGCATAGAGAGACCCACAGACTTGCACAGAGACCTAGAGACTTGAACAGAGACCCAGAGACTCACAGTGGGACACACAGACTCACACAGAGACCCAGAGACTCACACAGAGAGACCCAGATACTCACACAGATGCTCAGAGAATCGCACAGAGAGATCCACAGTCTCACACAGAGACCCAGAGACTCGCACAGAGACCAAGAGAATCGCACAGAGACCCACAGTCTCACACAGAGACCCAGAGTCGCACAGATACCCTAGAGACTCGCACAGAGACCCAGAGACTCGTACAGAGACCTAGAGACTCACCCAAAGACCCCCAGAATCACAGAGAGACCCAAAAATTAACGTAATTATTTGAACTTGTAACACACAGCAAAGACGGTGGTCACCGCATGGCGCGGCGCTTACAGATGCACTTCTGCGGCCGTCTGGAAGGTTCTTCCTTCCAATGTTAGGAAGCCACTGGGAGCTTAGCACTTTAAAATCTTGTAGATTGAAAATGCATTTCTTTAGAACTGCTTTTAGTGTTTAGTTTGTTGTCCTTCCCCCCGCACCTCCGATCAGCACGGTTGACTACGTGCGGTACGAAAGAAGTTCAACTTACAGTCCAACTGACATTAATTATCCGTGGATCTGCTCGTGTGCGTGTGTGTTTCAGATTTACAAAAACAAAAAGGATTGTGAATATGTTGATGCTCAGGATGAATCTAAATCAAACTGGATGAGGTGATTATTGTCTGAAGGACCACTACACAGAGATCAGAACCACTACACACAGAGACCAGAACCACCACACACAGAGACCAGAACCACTACACACAGAGACCAGAACCACTACACACAGAGACCAGAACCACTACACACAGAGACCAGAACCACTACACACAGAGACCAGAACCACTACACACAGAGACAAGAACACTTCACACAGAGACCAGAACCACTACACACAGAGACCAGAACCACTACACACAGAAACCAGAATCACTACACACAGAGACCAGAACCACCACACACAGAGACCAGAACCACTACACACAGAGACAAGAACCAGCACACACAGAGACCAGAACCACTACACACAGAGACCAGAACCACCACACACAGAGACCAGAAACACCACACACAGAAACCAGAACCACCACACACAGAGACCAGAACCACCACACACAGAGACAAGAACCACTACACACAGAGACCAGACCCACTACACACAGAGACCAACCCTGGGCCTCCCCTTGGTCGACTCGGCATCAAATGAGCACCCGGTACGGAGCGTGGTTCCAGCCACACCACCCCCACGTAGCGCCCAGTGCCGGCCCTTAATAGGCGCTCGCTAACGGCGCCCACCCCGCCCCCGCGTCTGCCCGCGCAGGTTCGTCAACTGCGCGAGGAATGAGCAGGAGCAGAACCTGGTGGCCTTCCAGCACAGGAGGCAGATTTACTACCGCACGTTCCGTGCCGTGGGGCCCGGCTCTGAGCTGCTGGTCTGGTACGGCGAGGAGTTCGCCCAGGAGCTGGGCATCGCCTGCGAGGCCGGGCCCTCGCGACGCCGCAGCAGCAGCAGCAGCAGCGAGATGGCTCCTAGGGCCACCGCCAGAGACCTGCAGCCCGTGCAGCCTCCACCAAGCGAGGAACACCGTGAGCACCGCTCACCAGAGACTCACCACTGCTCACCAGACTATAGCCACCACTCACCAGAGATGATAGCCACCACTCACGAGAGACGATAGCCACCACTCACCAGAGATGATAGCCACCACTCACCAGAGATGATAGCCACCACGCACCAGAAATGATAGCCACCACTCACCAGAGATGGCAGCCACCACTTACGAGAGACGATAGCCACTACTCACCAGAGACGATAGCCACCACTCAGTAGAGATGATAGCTACCACTCACCAGAGATGATAGCCACATCTCACCAGAGATGTGGATGTAGCTACCACTCACCAGAGATGATAGCCACCACTCACTAGAGATGATAGCCACCACTCACCAGAGATGACAGCCACCACTCACCAGAGATGATAGGCACCAGCCACACTGATAAGGTGGAAGTGAGTAACTGGTGTGGTGTGTAGTAGTAAACATCGCCACTGGGGAGACAAAGGCGGCTATGTGTGGTGCTGGCCACCCTCCCACTCGTGTGCCGTGTTGGCTTTCATTGGTGCCCATAACAGCACTTGTCCCAAAAGTATATAAGGCTATATGGGGGTTCTTTGTCTTTGTGTGTATATATAATGGAGCCCACTGCACTACGAACCTGGCCACCTGAGTTTGATTCCCACTCACGGCCAACGTCAGTGGTGAATATTTAGGCCTCCCCTAGGTTGACTCAGCCTCAAATGAGTACCTAGCTTAAACGTGGAAACATCGCCACTGGAGAGACAAGGCGGTCGGGCCTAGTGTTGGCCACCTACTCCCTCGTGTGCCATGCCGGCCTTCATAGGTACTCGCAAACAGCACTTGCCCAACAGTCTGATATGGCTGTGAGAAACCTTTACCTTTGTGTATACACACACGTGTGCAAGAGTGTTCATGTCTAGATGTTGGTGTGTGCGCGTGTGTCTTGTTCCTCTGGGATGACGCAGGTGGAGTGGGTGTGGAGGTCACAAGGCTGCCGTGTCCTGCCTGCAACCGTCAGTTCATCTGCCGCTCTAGTCTACAACATCACGTGCAGAGGAGACACCCCACTAAGCCCAGTAACAAAAGTCATCAGTGTGACCAATGTCCATACAGCACAGACTACAAGAGTACCTTGAAGAAGCACCAGAGAACACACACGGGAGAGAAGCCGTTCAAGTGCACCGTGTGTAAGAAGGCATTTGCAGACACATCAACTCTTCACAGGCACCAGAGAACACACACGGGAGAGAAGCCGTTCAAGTGCACGGTGTGTGAGAAGGCGTTTGCACGGCTATCAACTCTTCACAGCCACCAGAGAACACACACGGGAGAGAAGCCGTTCAAGTGCACCGTGTGTGAGACGGCGTTTGCAGACACAGCAACTCTTCACAGGCACCAGAGAACACACACGGGAGAGAAGCCATTCAAGTGCACCGTGTGTGAGAAGGCGTTTTCACAGCTATCACATCTTCACAGGCACCAGAGAACACACACGGGAGATAAGCCGTTCAAGTGCACCATGTGTGAGAAGGCGTTTGCACATCTATCAACTCTTCACAGCCACCAGAGAACATACACGGGAGAGAAGCCGTTCAAGTGCACCGTGTGTGAGAAGGCGTTTGCAGACCCATCCAGTCTTCGCCGGCACCAGAGAACACACACCGGCCAGAATGCATTTTCTCATTCCGTGGAAACAGAAAAGTCATCCATCCTGAGCAAACGCGCACAGCGCCGAGCTGTGAATTAGTTTTAAACAACAGGCCACGTGATTAGCCGAGGCTGTGCCACCCTTGAAACTGATTTTTGAATGTGAACACGGAAACCTACGGATCCTCCTACACCTGCCTCACACTCTGTGGGGGGTGGGAGATTAAACCGACCCGGCCACCCCTCGATTGCAAGTGCGGAGTTCTAGGTCCCAACCACTGCACGTCCCCCCCCCCACCCCCATCACCTGGGGGTCCCTGTGTGTGTGAGTGTGCAGAGTCCCCCGTGCAGAGCTGCACTGTTGTTACCCTAGAGGGGGGCACCGCAGGGCGATCCACCTACAGACACCCCAGTCTGCACGTCTCCCGCCGGTCTCCATGCGCACCGCGTGCCGTCTCGTAGCCCTGCCCCGTGCGACGTACGTAGAGTACGTACAGTACGCACCCATCCAGCGGTAGACTGAACCGCGGCTGTTGACGAAGGTGGCATCCACTCACAAATCTCCGAACACTCAGTCCAGAGGTCGCAACCGGGTACCCGATACCCGTACCCTACCCGATACCCGGCCGGGTACGGGTAGCTGTTTGCGACCTTCGTGCAGCCGGGTACAGGTAGACCGTGAGTCACTGGTGAGTAACTGTCACTCATTTCCCAACGTCTTGTCTCTTCTCACAATTCAAGTTCCTAGAATCAACCCACCCGCGCCTGCAACATGGCTTCACCCCAGAGGTCGCAATCAGGTACCCGATACCGGGTACGGGTATCTGTTTACGACGCTGGTGCGGCCGGGTACGGGTAAGGAATCAAAACCCGTTTGCGACCTCTGGCTCAGTACCGTAGCCCGAGCCATCGCTTGCACGATATTCACTTTGCTGCTGAGAGGAAAGCTACGGGGAGGAGGTGGGGGGGTTGCTAGGATAGGACATCTGTGGAACGGCTGGAGATCTGCGAAGAAGAGCTTCATAGCTCATCGGATTCCTGCGGTCTGAAAAAATATTGTGGGGATGGCGTTGGGAGGGGGGGGTGTAGGTATGAGTGGGGCATCTGCACTTGGATCACCCTGCGTGTTGTTATTGCCTCCCCCGTTGCAAATGTTCCCAGCGTGAACTTCACCCTTTGCCGTCGCGACGACGCCGCGCGCCGTGCGTGAACGTCGTCGTCGAAACAACAAAACGCAGTAAAAACTAAAGTAACTTTATCGGTACCGAGGCTCCCACAGGGCCACGCGGGGCAGGGAGTGTGGCACAGTTTTGGCGCCGGCTAGCGCAGAGTGGCGGCGGTCGTGTCACTACGCTTCTCTGCGGTGAGCAACGACGTCTTTATAACAACAACAACAGTGCTGCTGCTGCTGCCACTGCTGATGCCTCTCTGACACTCACCCCGTGAACGGTGACACCCACCGACCCTGCAACTCTGCAGACGTCTCGGACGCGGTAAAGGGTTGAGAGATTCTCTGCGTCGTCCCGGTTGCTCGCGTGATGTCGCACGGTGGTGGCGCGCGTTGACTCTTACACGGTTAAGAAAGTTGAGCGTTAGTTTGTGATTCTGTTTAAAAGTATATATGTACAAACTTAAACTAACAAACATTATCTTGGGATTTTACCAGTTAAGGTGCAACTGGATACGTAGAAGCTCTTTTATAAGACGCGACCACCTGGCCATCACAAATGAAAGCTCAACGAAGTGGCTTCTCATTGTGTGGACATTTATAGCGGCCAAATACTCTGATTGCGTGATCTCGATTCTAAATGTCGAGGGAAAAACCGGAGGACCTGGAGAAAAAATCCACACGACCACGGGGAGAGAGAAAGAGACGCGTAAACTCAAAATATACAGCAGGCGTCAGGGTCGGAATCAAACACAAGATTTCCTGTACACCAGGAGAGGTAGTTAACATCTCACATGCGTTCAGAGTATTTGGCTGATGTAAATGTCACGTGATGAGCCACTTCGGTGCGCTGCTGTCATTTGTGATAGCCACACAGCTCAGTGGGGGCCTTACCTGGAAAGTAAAGTGAAGTGAAAAACTAAAATCTACTATATTCTTGGTTCTTTCGGTAAAGTGACGTAGAAGGGAAATAATAAATAATAAAAATTTAAGAATCAAATTAACACGACGTTTCGATTGCAACGCAAGCAATCATCATCAGGTTATGTAAACCACAGCAAAAAAAATATTGCTGTGGTTTTCACACCTGATGATGATTGCTTGTGTTGCAATCGAAACGTCGTGAGAATTTTATTGTTTTATTTTATTATTTCCCTTCTACGTGACTTTACCGAAAGAACCAAGAATATGAATCCCTGTAGTCACGAAATCTTCAAATCGAAAAAAAATCTCCTCTTGGTTCTTTCGGTAAAGTCACCTAGAAGAGAAGTAATAAAATAATAAAAATAAAACATAATAAGTTATATTATTATAGTATATTATTTTATTATATTATTTTATTATATTGTTATTTTATTATAGTATATTATTTTATTATATTATGTTAATATATTATAATATAATATTATTTAAATATACAATATTAATTTATTATTTTATTTTAATATTTTATTATTTTATTTTTATTATTTCCCTTCTACGTGACTTTACCGAAAGAACCAAGAAGATGAATCCCTGCAGTCACGAAAGCTTTAAATCGAAATTTTACATAGACTTTGATTGCTTCAACCAGAAAAACTTTAATAATAACCCTAACCCTAAAAAATAACCCGTAAAAACAAAGTTTTTCACTATAAATCCTTTATATGCGTGGCGGCTAGAGTCCTCTCGTCCTCTGGCTTGAGATGGCTGCCACCTATGGGTCAGATGATTGTCTGCCACCATTAAGCAATTGGTAATTAAATATTTTAAAAAAATTCCCCTAAACAATGTAAATTTTTGAAAAAAATTTTCATGAAAATTAATTGTCACGCACAACGAGTCTGTGTGCAAAATGTCAGCTCGATTGGATCACGGGAAGTGGGTTAAAAAACGACCAAAAGATTTGCACGGTCGTAAGCAAGCAAGCAAGCACGCAAGCACGCAAGCAAGCAAGTGAACTTAATATAAAGGATTTAAAAATGCTTCAATTGATCAAATTGAGATTCTTACTTCCATTTACACGCTTTTTAGATATCGATTGAAGTTCGTTGTCGGCTGTTCTCTGTGTGGATAATTGCCTTTGAACTTTCACATGGGGCATGTTCTGCCCTGGAGGGGGGTATGGTCTGGACCAGTCTAGTTTAAAACCCCCGGGTCTAGTTTAGCCTAGGACACTTTATCCCCCCGGGTATACTCTGGCCTGGGCCAAACTATACCCGGGTTTAATCGGGGCAGGGGTTGTTTTTAAATCCTTTATATTAAGTTCACTTGCTTGCGCGCTTACGACCGTGCAAATCTTTCGGTTGTTTTTAACCCACTTCCCGTGATCCAATCGAGCTGACATTTTGCACACAGACTCGTTGTGCGTGACAATGTATTTTCGTGAAATATTTTTCCAAAATTTTACACTGTTTAGGAAAATAAAAATTTCACTAACACAATCATATGTTTTTCCTAAACACAGAAAATTATTCAAGAAAACAACAAAAATGTACAATATAAACAATCATACAAAAACTGAAAACCTTATAATCCTTATATACGACCTTACTTATATTTAATTTAAAATACCAATGTGATAAAATGAAACTCTTACTCAAGAAAAACAGAAATGAATAATAACATCAAACCGATGCCACGCATATAAAGGATTTATAGTAAAAAACTTTGTTTTTACGGGTTAATTTTTTTTTTGCCTGTTACACCGGTATCTCCAGGAGGTCGGAGCGACTTGCTCTGTGGTGACACTTTTCCGTGACAGAGGTTTGGTTTTTGCTGTTGTTGTTGGGTTAGAGATCTCGTAAACATCAACATTGTGTCGTTAACCCACCACCACCCACCACCATCGCCTGACACGGCCAATCAGTCAGGGTTTGTCACGTAAACGAAACGTGCCAATTGGTTACCAACTTCAGCACACACAGCGCTTGTGTGTCGGGGAGAGTGAACCCACAACAGCATTTACAATTCGAGTGCCGGTGACGTTTCGCCGGTTATTACAAACAACGGCCACCGGTTTCATCGGGCGATGTGCCAGGATTGTGATCCAACGCCATCTAACCCAGCAGCAGCAACAGCAACGACGACAACAAAAACCTTCATCACAGACACCGCTGGTCGCAAGAGACTGCGCGTGGCGCTTTGTGTTGCCGTTGCCATGAATCGTCGAAGCGCGTTCACGATCTGTTGTTCTCCTGTAACGCGGTGGTCATTTTGATTTAAAGCTTCTTTCGTGACTGCAGGGATCCATCTTCTTGGTTCTTTCGGTAAAGTCACGTAGAATGGAAATAATAAAATAATAAAAATAAAGCAATAAAGTAAGTTTTATTTTTATTATTGTATTAGTTAATAAAAGAAAAAATATTATTTAATAATAAAATAATGCTAATAAAACTATTATTTTATTGGTTTATTTTTATTATTTTATTATTTCCATTCTCCGTGACTTTACCGAAAGAACCAAGAGGAGGTGGTCATTGTTGCGTTCCTGAAGAACACCGCGTTGTGGAGAAATAATATAAACTATAGGGGGTGAAGCGTGGTCCGCAACTGCTCGCTGCTAATCCTAACAACACCAATCCTAGTCGTCATCCCTGCACGGCAATGATGGTAACACTATGACCCAACAAAATTACACATCAAACTGTCCTACAGATTTCAATTCACACGATCCTACAGATTTCAAGTCACACGCCCCTACAGACTTCAATTCACACGACCCTACAAACTTCAATTCACAAAACCCTACAGATTTCAATTCACACGCCCCTACAGACTTCAATTCACAAAACCCTACAAAACTTAAATTCACACGACCCTACAAATTTCAATTCACACTCCCCTACAGATGTGTTTTGGTCATGTGCCTACCTTTCCTATACTCTCCACTGCTACGGTGTTTATTGTGTCGTGTTTGTTGTTGTGGCGTTCTGACCACGTGCCCCGACTGGACACCTGTGGACAATAAAGAGCTTCACAGCTCATCGGATTCCTCCAGAATAAAAATTTAAACTTTAAAAACTCTGATGACGTCACTGCGTGGTGACGTCACGCGTCTAGCCCCCTCCACTCCCCCGTTACCCCCCACCCCTCCCACCCTCCATTCCCCCCTCCCGCCACTCACCAACCGCCATTCCGCCCCCTCCTCCCCCCACCCCCCACTCCCCCCACTCCCCCCCACCACCAACCGCCGCCATTGGCCACTGAGTGACGGTGACGTCACCACGGCGCCTGTGCCAGGCTGGGTGCACTTCGAGGCTGCCGCGTGAAGTGTCGACGGCTCGACACTGAGGTGGTGACGTCACGCGAGCGTTGTGTTTAACGATTTAACGATATTAGCGTAAAGATATGAGCATTAGCTCAAGTGATGTGAACACGTTCGGATTACCTCAAGTAATGTTACATTTACCTGAGGTAATTTTACCTCGCATAAGGTAAAGTTACCTCATTTGAGATAATGTTACCTTACCTGACGTAATTTTACCTTTGCCTGAGGTAATGTTACCTCGACCTAACGTTATATTACATCGCTTGAGGTAAAGTTACCTCACGTGAGGTAAAGTTACCTCGCCTTCCATTGAATTCCGATTATGTAACCCTGAGGTAATAATCGCGCGATAATTGTGTTTAATGATTTAACTACGTGAGAATATTACGATATGGGCATTAGCTGAAGTGATGTGAATACGTTCGGATTACCTCAAGTAATGTTACATTTACCTGAGGTAATGTTACCTCTATGTGAGGTAAAGTTACCTCACTTAAGGTCAAGTTACCTCGCCTGAGGTAAAGTTAACTAACCTGGGGTAATGTTGCCTCTACCTGAGGTGAAGTTTCCTCACCTGAAGTAATTTTACTTCGCCTAAGATAAAGTTACCTCAGCTGAGGTAAAGTTACCTCATTTGAGATAATGTTACCTTACCTGACGTAAAGTTACCTCGGCCTGACGTTATATTACTTCGTCTGAAGTAAAGTAACATCACCTGAGGTAATGTTACCCTCTACCTGAAGTAATTTTACCTCACCTAAGGTAATGTTACCTCGCATGAGGTAAAGTTACCTCATTTGAGGTAAAGTTACCTCACCTGAGGTAAGTTATCTCGACCTGAGGTTACTAAGGGCACCACGGGGTGACCAGCCCCCTCCCCACCCCCCAACCCAGCCCCTCCCCCCCCCCCACCCAGCCCCTCCCCACCCCCACCCAGCCCCTCCCCACCCCCCCCACCCAGACACCCCCCCACTCAGCCCCACCCAGCCCCTCCCCACCCCCACCCAGCCCCTCCCTCCCCACCCCCCACCCAGCCCCCCCCCACTCAGCCCACCCAGCCCCTCCCCACCCCCCACCCAGCCCCTCCCTCCCCACCCCCCACCCAGCCCCTCCCTCCCCACCCATCCCCACCCCCCACCCAGCCCCACCCTCCCTACCCAGCCCCTCCCTCCCACCCCCCAGCCCCACCCTCCCCCACCCCCCCCCCAAGCCCCCTCCCTCCCCCCCCCTCCCCCCACCCAGCCCCACCCTCCCCCACCCAGCCCCCCTCCCCTCCCCCCCACCCAGCCCCACCCCACCCAGCCCCCACCCTCCCCACCCAGCCCCACCCTCCCCACCCAGCCCTCCCCTCCCCAACCATCCCCCACCCTCCCCACCCAGCCCCTCCCTCCCCACCCAGCCCCTCCCTACACGACGGACGGACGGACACATTAATCCCCTGTGGGCTGGTGTAACCAGGAGGTTCCTACCAGTAGTCAAGTGAGGATTCTATCTCACGCGAATTTAAATCGTAAGATTACGCTACGAGACGACTTCACGTTACGATTACAGCTACACATCTCTACAGTGTTGACACGGAGCGACTAATTAATTGTACAAGATTTACTTTGCACTGAATGAGAATGTCGCGGTGAAGATTACCTTATAATATAACGTGATTTGATACGGATTGCATCACATTCTGATTACCTTACCCTCAGTGCCGGATAAAGTTAGTTCGGGGCCTGTAGCATGTGCTAGAAAGGGGCCCAATAATTTTTTTTAAAACGTAAACATTAAAACACATTTTTTACTTGCACAGTAAAGTATTTGTATTTTTTCATTTGCTATACAGCCGATAATACGACTAATCGCTAACCTTAAACACCCAGTCGTTCATAAAAAAAAAAGTTGAAGTCTGTATAGTACTATAGTAATAGAGCAAGTGCAGAATCAATTAACCCGAATTGATATCTTGAAAGCATTTAGCGCGGGGCCCTTGAAAGTGCGGGGCCCGTAGCATTTGTAGCAACTTTTGCGACTCCGATAATAAACCCCCCCCCACTCCCCCCCACCCCATCACCCCCCCCCCACTCCCCTCCCACCACCGCCAATCGCCGCCATTGGCCACTCAGTGACGGTGACGTCACCACGGCGCCTGTGCCAGGCTGGGTGCACTTCGAGGCTGCCGCGTGAAGTGTCGACGGCTCGACACTGAGGTGGTGACGTCACGCGAGCGTTGTGTTTAACGATTTAACCACGTGACGATTTTACGATATTAGCGTAAAAATATGAACATTAGCTGAAGTGATGTGAACACGTTCGGATTACCTCAAGTAATGTTACATTTACCTGAGGTGATGTTACCTCATCTGAGGTGATGTTACCTCAGGTGAGGTAATGTTACCTTAGCTGACGTAATTTACCTCTGCCTGAGGTAATGTTACCTCGACCTAACGTTATATTACATCGCTTGAGGTAAAGTTACCTCGCCTTCCGACAGTCTGTTAAGGCCACACGGGGGATCTTAGTCTCGTATCCCTGTGACTCTGTCTCCGTGTGACTCTGTCTCCCTGTGACTCTGTCTCCCTGTGACTCTGTCTCCGTGTGACTCCATCTCCGTGACTGCGTCTGACCGTCGTCCGCGTCTCGTCCCTCCGTGTCTCTGCGCCTCAGCAGCAGCAGCAGGAGATGGGCGACTTCCGAGACATCAGAGGCTTCTTCACCAAGGCCGAGTGGAGCGATCTGGCCGAGTGCGAGAAGCGGCGCTACAGGAACATCAAGCAGAACCACGCCGTCCTGCTGAACCTCGGTGGGTACGGCAGGCCGAGCCTCTTCGCAACTCAACTAATTGTCGCAGTGATTATAATGATGAGACCAAGACGTCGTAGCAGAGTGGCATGCATGGGGCGCCATGGTGGCGAGATGTTAACTAACTCGCCTGGTCTACAGGAGGTCGTGGGTTCGATCCCGACCCTGACGATGCCTGTCATATATCTGGAGTCTGCGTGTGTCCTCTCCCGGGTGAGATGTTAACTACCTCGCCTGGTCTACAGGAGGTCGTGGGTTCGATGGCGACCCTGACGATGCCTGTCATATATCTGGAGTCTGCGTGTGTCTCTCCCCGGTGAGATGTTAACTACCTCTCATGGTCTACAGGAGTTCGTGGGTTAGATCCCGGTCCTCCGGGTTTTTGCTCCACTTGTAGAATCAACCTCACGCGTTTAGAGTTATTTGTCTGCTGCTATAAATGTCCACGTGGTAAGCCACTTGGTTGAGCTGTCATTTGTGGCAGCCAGGTCGCTTCTGAAGAAGGAGCCAATAGCTCAGTGGACTTCACCTGTGAAGTAAAAATAGATTTAGTTTTAGTTTAATGATTTGTTTACCTTTACTCTACTTTGCACGCCTATCGTGTTTGTGTTTTGTGTTGTTGTAACTTTCTGACCCCGTGCCCCCTATGGGACATCTATGAAAAAGAGCTTCATAGCTCATCGGATTCATAATTCTAGTCACGTAGTAAAAAATAAAATTAAAATTAATCAAAGTAAAATTAAAATTTATAAAAGTACTTTTATTAATTTAAATTTATTTTTTACCTACGGATTCATAATGTTGGAGAGTAAACCCACAACATTTACAAAAATAGTTTATTTTGACTTAAAACTTTCGTGACTGCAGGAATTCATATTCTTGGTTCTTTCGATAAAGTGACGTAGATAGAAAAACTAAAATAAAAAAATAAAGTGAATAGTAAAAATGATAAAGCACTCATGTATAATCAAAACTTTTGAGTTATAATTAGTCTTCTTGGTTCTTTCGGTAAAGTCACATAGAAGGGAAAAAAAAAACATAAAATACAATTATTAAAATACAATTTTAATGTTTTCTTTTTAATATTTTATTATTTCCCTTCTACGTGACTTTACCGAAAAGAACCAAGAGATGAATCCCTGCAGTCCACGAAAGCTTTAAATTGAAATGTATACATTAGTGTTTTTTTTTTATGGAGCAGTCTAATTAGTGTCTATTTTATAATTTTTTATTCACTTAATTTGTATCATTTGAACTGCCTCTATTGGGAGGGTTTCCACATAACCATGAGATCTTTTAACAATCTCCGTGACAAGAAAGTTCATCTGATCGAGTCACCTCACATTTCTGAAGAGATGCCGTGACTCTAACGTAATACCGATCTCATTGACACTGATTTCTGCTGCAGGTCACATCTTCCAATGCCAGACGAATTTTGTTCAGGGCGAGCTTGGCCCTGATCTCAGAGAGAATTAGACTGCTCCATACTGAACTAGATCATGTAGACAAGACACTCTTGAAATCACACTTAACATTGACGGGAAAAATGTCGACATCTGATTGGGAACATGTAGATAACATGACCGCTTAATCAGCCACTACAATGTCAGCGAAATGTAAAGATCTGATTTTCGAGTTCAACCTTTCTAACAAGAAACCAGATCCACACGTTAAAAGGTTAGACGTTGACAAGGTTGTTATTAATCTGAGTAATAGCCCAATGTGCGATGGTCTAAAGTCGGTTTTGGCTAAAGAGTTGAACTTCTCAGTCACCCCCAAACACATTCCAGTGGATGACGTTATTGCCCAGGTCGATGTCGCTCTTAAGGGTTTGGGGCGCATCGCTGCAGACGTTACAAGATCTGAAATTGCTGCAACCCTCAAAGCGCTAAGATACCAGTCAGCAACATCAGTGAGGATGAACGTTTTTGTGGTTTTTGATTATTTTTTATTCACTTTATTTTTCTATCTACGTGACTTTGCCGAAAGAAAACCAAAGAATATTTACAAAAAAATGTATTTGTGTGTGTGTAATTTGTTTACCTTTTCTATACTTTGCACTCCTATCGTGTTTACTGTATTGCTTGGGGTTATGTAGCAGCCAAATAATATAAATGAACGTAGTAGCGGTACACCGTTGCGCTGTATGAAATAATCATCACATTTTTGGCAAAAGTTATTATTTCCTCGTGATTCGAGACCCCAGACAAGGATATTTTGGGGTGGTGGTGGTGCGTCAAAATCAGTTGTCGTGATGCCAAAGCGGTGGGAAGACGGAACGTGACATGAGCAGCACTGAACACGAAGCTTCGCAGTCTGTTGCCGTACAGCGGCGCCCAGTCTGATGACAATCGGCTGCTCCGTGCTCCAGTGGCAAGATTGGACTTCCTCGTGCCCCTAGAGACTCGGTCGGACGGTGCCTCTATACGACTCGTGGTGTCGCCACCGCACGTTCGGAATGGGGGACGCGGCTGCTGAATCTGAGTGCAACTTCTGATGGAGAGTCCTGCAGCTCACTCAAGGGGCAACGGCGACATCATCGGGGACTATGAAAAATAAGAAATACGGTTTTACTCTTTATGGGAATGAAACAGGAGGTGTTAAGATGTTCAAACACCAGATAGATTATAGCTTTTGCAAGGAATCAGGTTACTGCATTAACCACGCGTACTGAACATGCAAACAAACACTCTCTGATAACATTTAATCATTGTCTTTGATACTGATTGGTCTACCCCAGAGACAGTCTTCTTCATGGCCTAGTCTCACCAGTGTCAGACCAGAGAACAACACCAAAAGGCGACCAGTACAAAGACAAATGCAGTGCCAAGAGCATTATAGCTCGGGGTGAGTAGCTATATCATTGGACCTTTTGCCAGAATCAAAGTATAAAAAATAGGAATCGGTTTTAAAACCCTTTCTGGCAATAAAACAGGAGCTGTTAAGATGTTCACACACCAAATAGATGATTCCTTTTTGCAAGGAATCAACGTTACTGCATTAACCACGCGTACTTGTGTTGAACACGCAAACAAATGTTGAGGTCGCTAGCCCCCGAGATCCCTGCCCTCGATAATGCTAACCGCCGGCTAACATCATCAATCGCCCCCCCGCTGCTAAGCGAACCGCTGCGAGGTTCCTCACCCATGGTGTGGGAGCCGTTCGCCCGAGGATTCCCCTCCACCGCGGGTCCGCGTAGTAGGCATGGTTGGATACCGCGTAGTTTTATGTCCCCCTTTACGCTACCACGATACCTCCCTTTCCTAATCGCGTACCTGCGACCCACACGGAGCGAACGTACGCACACACACACACCGCTCCGTGCACTCCAACTCCACACTGACTACTCGCGTTATGATCGTGCACCTGTATCACACGCGGAGTGAACACACGCGACACCCACTCTCGCACCGCTCTGCGCAGCGCTCCCCCGAGGCGAGCCGCAGCACTACAGAATCACCGCGCACACACGCTCACCCGCGCGCTCAGCTCCGCGCAGCGCTCACTCACGTGGCGAACCACCGTGCACACAGCGCACCCACATGCTCACACTGCTCGACCAGATCACGCGAGACCACGCTTCGCTATTAATGATTTATTATCTGATACCTGGCAATTTAATGTTAAATCAGTGAGTCGACGAGGCTGGCCTACGCTGATACCTTTATACCTATTCCCGATTTATCTGCTATGATTCCAATTCACCTTCTTACTCTCTGTTGGATGCCCACGGCGGTTCGTTGATCACGTACTCGCAGCGTGCCTCGATGCGTCTCACGGACGTTCGGGTCGCTGGACTGGAGAGCGTCCTGTTGCCTGGCGCTGGAGAGAGAGAGCGATTTCCCCTTTGCGCCCCCGTATTTATCCTCCCTACCTCACAGGGATGCTGCTGAACAATGGGCTCGTGCACCCCAAGCCCGCGCACGGCGGTTCCGGGCGCTTTTGATCTGCTAATCAGTGAGCTGCGTTGGCGGCGTACATCCTAATTACTCCCTTACCCTGCGCGCTCAAGCGTAATTATGCCGTCCCTCCGCTGCCGGTGCGGGGGTGCCTGATTATGCAGTTCAGATGCGCTGCGTGTTTTCTAATGATGCTCCTCCATTACAATGCTTATTCCCTCTGCCTGCCCCGTCGATACTGGCGTGTGTGGGGGGAAAATGCGCCTCCACCGCGGTGGCCGAATGCCCCACGCCGCGACCACCCATATTAAGGCTGGTCGCAGCGCCGCGGCGCAACGTAGCACGGGGGAGGTCGTCCAATTCCCTGATCGCCGGAAACCGTGAGAGTTAACCCCGATAAGAGTTTCTCGGATAAAAACCGGTCGGCCAGGTAACCTCCCCTTCCAGCTTATGGGTGGGGGAAAATGCGTGCGGGTGTGTTCATGTGAGGTGAGGTGAGGGGGAAGCGGGGTTGGCTCCGTTGCTTGGTGGTGGCGAGGTCGGGGATTTGGGCGCCTGCCGAACGGCTTCGTGGCGGCGGCATCACACAAACACGCTCTGATAGTAATCACATCGTCAGGACTGTGTTACGAGGACCCGGTGTGTTGCTATGCTGCACGGGTGTACTGCCAATACGTACAAATAACAATGACCGACTGCCTCCTTGCGCAGGGATGAACCCGGCCCAGCCCGAGTTCATGCGCGCACGCGGCAAGCGCAGGGCGAGGGGGAATGGAGCGGAGTGCGGGCGGTCGAGCGACTCCGACGAGGAGTGGACGGGGAGGAGGAAGAGGAAGGATGGCGATGCACGGAGGACGAAGAGGCAAACGTAAAAGGGCGCTTGCAGACCGTGCAGAGACCCCCTGTAGACTCACACAGAGACCCCCTGTAGACTCACACAGAGACCCCCTGTAGACTCACACAGAGATCCCCTGTAGACTCGCTTGATGAAGCTGGTTGTAATCACCAGTGGAACATCACAGTACCATTCTCGAATTGTGAATTTTGTGGGTTTACTGTCCAACACACAACCGGTTAGTGCTGAACTAGTAACTAATTGGCACGTTTTGTTTACCTGACAAACCTTACGGATTGGCTGCGTCGGGTGGTGACGGGTTTAACGACACATTCATATTTACGCGATATAACCCAAAAAATAATATATTGGTCGCGAAATCCTACATGTTAAACTGGTTAGCAGTCTGCGCTATGAACCTGGCGACCCGGGTTCGATTTCTGCTCACGGTCAACACCAGTGACGATTATCTAAACTGGTCCTGGGCCTCCCCTAGGTCAACTCACCTTCAAATTAGTACCTGGTACAGTGTGTAAACATCGCCACTGGGGAGACAAAGGCGGTCGGGCGTGGTGCTGGCCACCGACCCCCTCGTGTACCGTTCTGGCTCACTAACAGCACTTGCCCCTACAGTCTGCTAAGGCTATACGGGGGATATTTGTCTTTGCATATGTTCATGCGTGTCCGCGTGTTCACACGTGTGTGCGTGTGTTCACGGGTATCCATGTGTTCACACACATGGACACGTGCGTGCGTGTGTTTGCGGGTGTTCACGTGTGTGCGTGTGTTCTTCTTATGAACAAAAGAATGAAGGGGGCTTGGGAGCGTGGCGATGAGGTGTGGGAAGCTGTAAGGCCCAGGCTACTTTGGGCTCGCCTTCCCATCAACAGGAGGCGAGTGGTGGTCGTGGTTACTTATGCCCCCACCGAAGACGAACATCCGTGGAGGGATGCAGGCAAAGCCGATGATTCAGATGCCTTCTATGACCTCCTGTCACAGGTACTGGCTAAAGTGGCCACTCGGGATAGAGTCATCTTGTTGGGTGACTTCAATGCCCGAGTTGGTCATGATACTGGCACCTGGTCTGGAGTGATTGGAGGGCATGGGCCAGATCAGTTCAATAACAACGGTAGGAGGCTGCTAGATTTTTGTGCAGCCCATGGGCTTGTAATTACCAACACGCTCTTCCGACATCGGCGCATCCACACAACATCATGGATGCATGCCGGGTCCAAGCAAGAACATCTGCTGGACTACATAGTGATGGACCAGCGGATGCGAACCCATGTCTTTGACACCAGGACCTACTGTACCGTGGAGCTGATCTGCCCTCTGACCATCGACTAGTCATCTGTAAGATGCGCCTGCCATTCTTCCACTCTGGTGGTGGGTGTACACCCAGGACCCCATTCCAACCTAAAGTGGCCTGGTTTTAGTTAGCTGATGAAAGTTGCAAGTGAGAATTTCATCATCGCTTGCGGCTGGGGTTGTGGCATCATCCCCCAGTCTTCCTGATGTCGAGGGTAAATGGGCGAGGTTTAGGACTGTGACTCATGCAGCTGCAATGGCTGCTTTGGGTACGCGTTCCAGAACTCCCCAGAGACCCTGGCTGACAGAGGAGGTGTTCAGGATAGTTGAGAAAAAGTGACAGGCCCACTCTCATCGGCTCCAGCATCCCACGTCAGACAATGAGGAGCTTACCGCAACCTTCGCTCGGAGGGTTGAAGAGCCGTAAGGCGCTGCAAGGATGGGTGGTGGTCACGGGTTGCTGAGGAGATGGAGTCTGCCTCAGTGGCCCACGATCACAAATCACTATTTAACTCCATCAAAAAAGTAACCTCCAGCGCCACACCGATTACCATCATTAGGGGAAAAAACGGTGATCCAATCTCCGACCCCCAGGAACAGGTTTGCAGATTTGCTGAGCATTTCTGTGAGGTCCTGGGGGAGGGGAAATCCCTCAGCCAGGAAAACATCATGGCACAAAGTGGGGATGACCCTGCTGAGGCTGTGGTGCCTCAAATATTGGAAGAAGTCACCCTCTGTGAGTGGCTGGCTGAGATGCCATCTGTTGAGGAAGTACTGAAGGCGATCCGGAGTCTGAGACCAGGAAAGGCACCGGGCAGAGATGATCTCCCAAGCGAAATGATGAGGGAGGGTGGCGTTTGTGCACAGACTGCCCTATATGACATCATAACAACAGTCTGGACCACTGGACGGGTACCGCAGAATTGGAAGGATGCCCTGGTGGTCCCCCTCTTTAAGAAGGGGGACCGTACAGACTGTAACAACTACAAGGGCATCTCACTCCTCAGTGTGCCGGGAAAGGTGCTGGCAAGGATTATTCAACATCGCCTTGCTAGGCACGCTGAGGAGAGGCTTGCGGATCCCCAATGCGGTTTCAGGAAAGGGCGGTCCTGCACAGATGCCATATTTTCTGTCCGTCTGCTACAGCAGAGGTGTAGGGAATTCCAACAAGACCTACATCTCTGCTTTATTGACCTGGTCAAGGCCTATGACACCATCAGTAGGCCTGGGCTCTGGGTTGTTCTTCGTGCTTTCGGAGTCCCTGACCCTCTGCTCACGATCATTAAGGACCTTAATGATGGTGAGCGGGCCCGGGTAAAACTACGTAGCCGGGAGTCGGAGCCATTCCCTGTACACCTTGGGGTGTGACAGGGATGTCCTCTGGCTCCCACATTATTTAACATCAATTTTGACCACGTAGTTCGTGAAGCCTTCAATAGCTGTACCGAGGGAATTTCCATTTGGTAGATATAATGGGAGGCTGATCGATGCCTGGGTGCGATCAAGGGATGGCTCCCTATTGGTCAACCACGTTATGTATGCCGATGATGTAGTAATAGCTGCTCATTCAGAGGAGTTGGAGACGCTGCTGCTGAGACTGGAGAATGCCACTAGGAGGTGGGGCCTTACCATCAGCCCCACCAAAAACTAAGCACCTGCCTGGGTATTTTGTACCATTGGACACTCCACCCATACAACTCACTCCCAATCAGTGATGGGGCAGTTGTGGAGAGAGTGGAGAGTTTCCCATACCTGGGCAGTGTGCTTATGACCGGCTCCAGTTTAACAGCAGAGGTCTCACTCCGAATCAGTCAAGCGGCAATATATTTTCATCGGTTGCGTAACGCTGTGTGGAAGCTACCTGGTCTGTCACTCCGCACGAAGCTTCAGGTTTTCGGCCATCATTCCTTCCTTCTCTACGCTTGCAAACGTGGACCCCCCTAATGGAGCATCTTCGCTGGTTAGAAACATTTAGGCTGGCCTGCCTACGATCCATCCTGGGTTTTACCAGGCTGGATTGTGTGAGGAGCTCACAAATCCTTGAAAGATCTGGGCAAAGTCCCATCGGTGAGCTCCTCCGGCAGGCAAGGCTGCATTGGCTGGGTCATGTAGCCCGCATGCCCAGCCACTGCATGCCTAAACAGCTTTTGTTCGGCCGGATCGAGGGGGCTAAACAGGCGTGACACGGGCTAGAGAAGAGATGGAGTGATGTGGTACAGGAGGACATGGAGCTGAGTGGACTTGCCAAGGACTGGTACCAGCGGTGTCAAGATCGGGCTCTGTGGAGGAGGCTCGTGAAGGACGCCCTCCAACAACAACGGAGGGCGGAGGAGCGACGCTCACAACAATGAGCGGAGCGCCGGGTGGCAAAAGCACAGCAAGTTGGCACAGTAGGGGGCACAGGTGGTGCATCAGCCATTCATCTCGGTCATCTTAGTCAATCGACCCGTGGCGCCTAGGTCTGCCCCGTGACCTCCTGCCAGCGGGCGTTCTACACTTCACGTGGCCTCAAGGTGCACATGGCCTGGCACAAACGTCGTGGTGATGTCACCGCCAATTAGTGGCGAATGGCTGTTGTTGTTGCGTGTGTTCACGTGCGTGCGCGTGTTCACGTGTGTGTGTTCACGTGTTTGTGCGTGTGTTCACGTGCGCGAGTGTGTTCATGCGTGAGTGTGTTCACGTGTGTGTGTGTTTACGTGTGTGCGTGTGTTCACGCAGGAGGAGGCAAGGGGGCTGCTTCACGCTGGGCCACCGTGGGAGAGTGGCACGCGAGGGCAGCTCCCAGCAAGCGCAAGGTCTCTGTGCACAGCGCACGGCACTCCTCTCGTTACAGCTGCTGCTGCTGTTGTTGTCTTTAGTTTGTTGTCCTTCCCCCTCACCTCCCATTAACGAGGATGGCTACGTACGGTGCCAAATAAATTCAACGTACATACATACTACTAAACACTGCTATATCAGGGACGTGCGGTCAGGGGAGGCAGGCGAGGCAGAGTCTCGCCTGTCATATACTCCAATGAAAATAGCTGTTACGAAAAGTAAAAAGAAATGTTCCACTGATCCGTGTTATAAATGTAATTTCTGTATAATTCCAATCATTACAGAGAAATAGGAACAGGCACGCGCTTATCGCTGCCTCACGTACAGACGAGACGTACGCCATGATACACTACTATACACTACACTATTCATGACTAAATACTACACGACACACTACACCATGATACACTACTATACACTACACTATACACTAATATACACTACATTACTATACACTAAACACCTAACGTACACACACACAACACGTACACACAAGACGTTCGCCACTCCTCTCTAGGATCCGAGGTGATAGAACAGAACCTGAGAAGGGCGTAGACAAGCGTAGACACCGTGACCACGGTGACAATGACCACTGGGTTTGCAACGCGCGCAGACTCCACGAGACGGGCAGACGTCGATGTCCCATCGCAGACTCGGAGGTTACGGAGCTCAGAGTCACGGTTCACTGAGCTACAGAGTCGCTCTTTTTTTCACAAGCGGTACCCGGCTATCACAACTCATAGCTCAACGAAGCGGCTGATATCATCATCACGTGGATATTTCTAGCGGGAGTCAAATACTCTAAAACGAGCGATCCGGATTCTCAATGTGACGGGAAAAACCGAAGGACCCAGAGAAAAATCCACGCAGCGACCACCACATCAGGGTCAGGATCGAACACATGACCTCCTGCGTACCAGGCGAGGTAGTTAACATCTCCTAGCTACCATGCCCCCTCTGCATGGCACTCTGGTACAACGTCTGGGCTTATTATTATAATTAGTTTATTCATTAGTTTAGTTGTGAAGAGGCTTGGCCTGCCATACCCACCGAGGTTCAGCATGACGGCATGGTTCTGCTTGATGTATGGAATCAGATTTACAGAATCAGAATATCAGAATTAGAATATGTATTGTACTGGAGGAATCCGATGAGGTGTCAGGGTCGAGATCGAACCCGCGACCTCCTGCGTACCAGGCGAGGGAGTTAACATCTCCTAGCCACCGCTGGTCACCGCACCAACTCCGCCCCCCACACCCCCTCCGCCCCCTCACCCCACCGCCCCCTCCGCTCAGACTAAAGCGAAAGCCCTGGAGTACGTGTGGAGCATCTTGCAGGGCGTGGAGGAGGAGCAGCAGCAGCAGGAGGAGGAGTTCAGGGGATTTGAGCTGAGGGAGGTGCACAAGGCCAGGATGGCGATGTTCAGGCTGGAGCGCAGAGCCACCGCCTGCAAGGAGGCCCTGAGGGTGGCGCTCCAGAGGATACGTGGAGGTGCGTAGCCTGCAGCGGTGATTTCTATTCACACCAGAACTCCACACTCCCCTCTATTCCCACCGGAACTCCACACTCCCATCTATTCTCACCGGAACTCCACACTCCCTCTATTCTCACCAGAACTCCACACTCCCCTCTATTCTCACTGGAACTCCACTCCCTGCTATTCCCACCAGAACTCCACACTCCCCTCTCACCAGAACTCCACACTCCCCTCTATCCTCACCGGAACTCCGCACTCTTCTGTGGCTGCTGATGGAAGTCGCCACTGCTGTTGATGCTACTGCTACATGTGCTCCTGTCAGTGCTGCTGCTGGTACTGATGCAGCCTATAAACTAAGCGATGTTTCTTTTACCAGGGTAAGCCGCACTGAGCTGTGTAGATGTTTTTCAGAAGCGACCTGGCTATCACAAATGAGAGCTCAACGAAGTGACTTGTCATCATCATCATTACGTGGACATTTACAGCAGCCAAATACTCTCAACACGTGACGTTGATTCTAAATGTCGAGGGGAAAAACCGGAGGACCCGGAGAAAAATCCACGCAACCACGGGGAGGTACAACATGCAAACTCCAAATATACAGCGTGGGTCGTCAGGGTCGGGATCGCACCCACGACCTCCTGTATTCCAGGCGAGTTAACATCTCGCCACAGAGGAGAGAGAGACACGCAGACTCCAAATATACAGCAGGCTTCGTCAGGGTCGGGATGGAATCTGCGACCTCCCGTATACCAGGAGAGGTAGTCAACATCTCGCCGTGTTTGCCTGCAGGCTCCTCCGTGCCGCCGGCCTCCGCCCAGGCTGTGGCGGTGTCGCGCAGCGCTCGCTCTCGCTACGGCCTGCGCCCGCGCGAGAGGAAAGTCTACACAGAGGTGGAGGAGCCCCAGGACGACGACTTCTTCTGTGAGACCCCGCTCCCCTCACTCTCTCTCTCACTTTCTCACTCTCTCTCACACTGTCACTTTCTCACACTCTCTCTCTCACTGTCACTTTCTCACACTCTCTCTCTCACTGTCACTTTCTCACACTCTCTCTCACACTGTCACTTTCTCACTCTCTCTCTCTCACCAGAACCCACACACAGAGACCAGAACCACTACACACAGAAACCAGAAACCACTGCACACAGAGACCCAGAACCACCACACACAGAGACCAGAACCACCACACACAGAGACCAGAACCACCACACAGAGACCAGAACCACCACACAGAGACCAGAACCACTACACACAGAACCAGAACCACTACACACAGAGACCAGAACCACTACACACAGAGACCAGAACCACCACACACAGAGACCAGAACCACCACACACAGAGACCAGAACCACTACACACAGAAACCAGAACCATTGCACACAGATACCAGAACCACCACACACAGAGACCAGAACCACTACACACAGAAACCAGAACCACTACACACAGAGACCAGAACCACCACACACAGAGACCAGAACCACTACACACAGAGACCAGAACCACCACACACAGAGACCAGAACCACCACACACAGAGACCAGAACCACTACACACAGAAACCAGAAACCACTGCACACAGAGACCAGAACCACCACACACAGCGACCAGAACCACCACACACAGAGACCAGAACCACCACACACAGAGACCAGAACCACTACACACAGAAACCAGAACCACTACACACAGAGACCATAACCACCACACACAGAGACCAGAACCACTACACACAGAGACCAGAACCACCACACACAGAGACCAGAACCACCACACACAGAGACCAGAACCACTACACACAGAAACCAGAACCATTGCACACAGATACCAGAACCACCACCACCACAGAGACCAGAACCACCACACACAGAGACCAGAACCACACACACACCAGAACCACTACACACAGAACCAGAACCACTACACACAGAGACCAGAACCACCACACACAGAGACCAGAACCACCACACAGAGACCAGAACCACCACACACAGAGACCAGAACCACTACACACAGAAACCAGAACCATTGCACACAGATACCAGAACCACCACACACAGAGACCAGAACCACCACACACAGAGACCAGAACCACTACACACAGAAACCAGAACCACTACACACAGAGACCAGAACCACCACACACAGAGACCAGAACCACTACACACAGAGACCAGAACCACCACACACAGAGACCAGAACCACCACACACAGAGACCAGAACCACTACACACAGAAACCAGAACCACTGCACACAGAGACCAGAACCACTACACTCAGAGACCAGAACCACCACACACAGAGACCAGAACCACCACACACAGAGACCAGAACCACCACACACAGAGACCAGAACCACCACACACGAGACCAGAACCACCACACACAGAGACCAGAACCACTACACTCAGAGACCAGAACCACCACACACAGAGACCAGAACCACCACACACAGAGACCAGAACCACCACACACAGAGACCAGAACCACCACACACAGAGACCAGAACCACCACACACAGAGACCAGAACCACCACACAGAGACCAGAACCACTACACACAGAGACCAGAACCACCACACACAGAGACCAAACCACTACACACAGAGACCAGAACCACTACACACAGAAACCAGAACCACCACACACAGAGACCCTGGGCCTCCCCTTGGTCGACTCGGCATCAAATGAGCACCCGGTACGGAGCGTGGTTCCAGCCACACCACCCCCACGTAGCGCCCAGTGCCGGCCCTTAATAGGCGCTCGCTAACGGCGCCCACCCCGCCCCGCGTCTGCCCGCGCAGGTTCGTCAACTGCGCGAGGAATGAGCAGGAGCAGAACCTGGTGGCCTTCCAGCACCGGGGGCAGATTTACTACCGCACGTTCCGTGCCGTGGGGCCCGGCTCTGAGCTGCTGGTCTGGTACGGCGAGGAGTTCGCCCAGGAGCTGGGCATCGCCTGCGAGGCCGGGCCCTCGCGACGCCGCAGCAGGAGCAGCAGCAACGAGATGGCTCCCAGGGCCACCGCCAGAGACCTGCAGCCCGTGCAGCCTCCACCAAGCGAGGAACACTGTGAGCACCGCTCACCAGAGACTCGCCACTGCTCACCAGACTATAGCCACCACTCACCAGAGATGATAGCCACCACTCACCAGAGATGATTGCCACCACTCACCAGAGATTATAGCCACCACTCACCAGAGATGATAGCCACCACTCACCAGAGACGATAGCCACCACTCACCACAGATTATAGCCACCACTCACCAGATGATAGCCACCACACACCAGAGATTATAGCCACCACTCACCAGAGATGATTGCCACCACTCACCAGAGATGATAGCCACCACTCACCAGAGATGATAGCCACCACTCACCAGAGATGATAGCCACCACTCACCAGAGATTATAGCCACCACTCACCAGAGATGATAGCCACCACTCACCAGAGATGATAGCCACCACTCACCAGAGATTATAGCCACCACTCACCAGAGATGATAGCCACCACTCACCAGAGACGATAGCCACCACTCCCAGAGATTATAGCCACCACTCACCAGAGATGATAGCCACCACACACCAGAGATGATAGCCACCACTCACCAGAGATGATTGCCACCACTCACCAGAGATGACAGCCACCACTCACCAGATATGATAGCCACCACTCACCAGAGATGATAGCCACCACTCACCAGAGATGATAGCCACCACTCACCAGAGATGATAGCCACCACTCACCAGAGATGATAGCCACCACTCACCACAGTGATGATAGCCACCACTCACCAGAGATGATAGCCACCGCTCACCAGAGATGATAGCCACCACTCACCAGAGATGATAGCCACCACTCACCAGGGATGATAGCCACCACTCACCAGAGATGATAGCCACCACTCACCAGAGATGATAGCCACCACTCACCAGTGATGATAGCCAGAGATGATAGCCACCACTCACCAGAAATGACAGCCACCACTCACCAGAGATGATAGCCACCACTCACCAGAGATGATAGCCACCACTCACCAGAGATGATAGCCACCACTCACCAGGGATGATAGCCACCACTCACCAGAGATGATAGCCACCACTCACCAGAGATGATAGCCACCACTCACCAGAGATGATAGCCACCACTCACCAGAGATGATAGCCACTGCTCACCAGACTATAGCCACCACTCACCAGAGATGATAGCCACCACTCACCAGAGATGATAGCCACCACTCACCAGAGATGATAGCCACCACTCACCAGAGATGATAGCCACCACTCACCAGAGATGATAGCCACCACTCACCAGAGATGATAGCACCACTCACTAGAGATGATAGCCACCACTCACCAGAGATGATACCACCGCTCACCAGAGACGATAGCCACCACTCAACAGAGATGATAGCCACTGCTCACCAAAGATAATAGCCACCACTCCCTAGATGATAGCATCCACTCACCAGAGATGATAGCCACCACTCACCAGAGATAGCCACCACTCAACGAGATGATAGCCACTGCTCACCAAAGATATAGCCACCACTCCCCATAGATGATAGCACCACTCACCAGAGATGATAGCCACCACTCACCAGAGACGATAGCCACCACTCACCAGAGATGATAGCCACCACTCACAGAGATGATAGCCACTGCTCACCAAAGATAATAGCCACCACTCCCCATAGATGATAGCCACCACTCACCAGAGATGATAGCCACCACTCACCAGAGATGATAGCCACCACTCACCAGAGATGATAGCCACCACTCACCAGAGATGATAGCCACCACTCAGAGATGATAGCCACTGCTCACCAAGATATAGCCACCACTCCCATAGATGATAGCACCACTCACCAGAGATGATAGCCACCACTCACCGCGATGATAGCCCCACTCACCAGAGATGATAGCCACCACTCACCAGAGATGATAGCCACCACTCACCAGAGATGATAGCCACCACTCACCAGATGATAGCCACCACTCACCAGAGATGATAGCCACCACTCACCAGAGATGATAGCCACTGCTCACCAGACTATAGCCCACCACTC